GTATCCGCGTGTGTGTGTGTGTGTCATGGTGCATGGTGCATGGTGAGATGCAACCGTATGCTGAGATGCAGAGGGGGGAAGGCATGACGCTGGTGGCGGTGCTCCCTGCCTACCTCAACGCCCTCACAGGTGCGTGTGTGGGGGGGGGTGGAGGGGGGCGTGTGTGTGTGACCATGAAAGACTGGTGTTCGTTCTGCCTGCCTATCTCAACGCTCTCACAGGTGTGTGTGTGGGTGGCGGGTGGGTTGGAGGGTGAGTGCGTGCGTGTTTAGTAAAAAGCCTGCCTCGCCCTCATGGGTGCATTTATTTACATGCCTTGTTCCTCCCTCCTCTTGAACCCAATTGGCCTCCTTCCTATCAGCCCCCATCTCCTTCCCTCTTCTCAACATTCGTCACTCTCCTCCTCACCAGGCATGAACTTGCATGAATGCGCTGCATGTTGCTGACTGCATGTGCAATCAACTCGAACCAACCCTTTTTGCTTCTAAACTCCTTCGCCCTCTCTTTCGCCCCAGGCAAAGGAGTGCACGTGGTGACACTCAGCGACTACTTGGCTCGCAGGGATTCCGAGTGGGTGGGCACATTCCCACATTTGATGTCACTTACGTGCGTATGGAGTAAGTGGTATAAACTCAACCTCCCTGCCTCCTTCTCAACCCGCTCTTTCCCAGGCAAGGGCGTGCATGTGGTGTCATGTCAACTACTACTTGGTTCGCGTCGATGCTGAGGGGGTGGGGTAGATCCACAAGTATCTCGGCCTCTCGGTCGGCCTCATTCAACATAAGAACCTCCTTGTGAGCTTTATTCAATATAAGCACCAGCACTAGCTTGAGTGATTTATTCCATATAAGCACTTGCTTGTTAACCTCATCATGTGGAGAAGGAACTTCAGAGCCTTGTTCAGCCTTGTTGCCAATCCTCGTACACCAAGCTCTCGAGATGCTGTGCTTTCTGCTTCTGCCTCAAAACACATCCCACGGAAGAAGGAAATTTGAGCCTTGTTCAGCCTTGTTACCAACCCTTGCAAACCAGGCTTCCGCAATGCGTTGTGCCTTCTGCTTCTGCCCTGGATTCAAACATGCAAAAGCAAGCTACAATGTCACGACCCCGCAGTGCTATGCCATTTGCCCTGAGTTCCGGGGTGGCTCAGTATGCAAGGGTTTTTTATGTGCCTCGTAACCAGCAAAGCAAGCTATGATCCCATGATTCCAGCCATTTGCCCCCTGCTTGCTGCAGATAGCATGACTGTGCGGCAGAGGTGCGAGACCAATGCTTTTGAAGTTACGTACGTCATCGACAGTGAGAATGGTCGCCTTCCTCACAAATGGATTATGAACTCTAGGAAAGCAAAGAACATTTTATCATCCCACGATGCCATCTTGTCTGCTCCCTGAGCCTTGCAGAGGGTATGACGGCGCAAAAGAGGCGGGAGCGCTACGTGTGTAGCGCCTTCAGAGACAACCTTGCCACTAGCAGCGTACGTCACCTGCAGCGAGCTGGGATTTGACTACCTCAGGGACAACCTTGCCACTGTCAGACTCCCTCAGGGACAACCTTGCCACTGTCAGACTCCCTCAAATTCACGTGGTGGGGAGGGAGAGCTACGCGTGTGATGTCACATACGTCACCAACAACGAGCTTGGATTTGACTAGCTCGGAGACAATCTCGCCACTATGAGTGCTGCTTCTCATTCATGCGTCTATATTTGGGCCCCTCCCTCCTCCCCGCCTTTTACTCTCTATCCACCCCCCTCCCCTCTCTCCCCCCTCACCCTCACTCCCTCTCTCTTCCAATCGCCCGCACCTGCCTCTCTCTCTCTCTCTCTCTCTCTCTCTCTCTCTCTCTCCTCTCTCTCTCTCTCTCTCTCTCTCTCTCTCTCTCTCTCTCTCTCTCTCTCTCTCTCTCTCTCGAATGGCCCTTTCATTGAGTGATACAAGGTCATACAGGCATGCACGGAGAATGCTAAACATGGAGTGTTCTAAAACATATCCCTCTAACTACGCACCCCTAAACTCTACCTCCTCCCCCCCCCCCCCCCCCCTTTAAGCTAGGTCCAGAGCCGGATCCAGGACCGAGAGGCAGTCCCCTAGGGACGGGGCCTCCCCCACTGGCTCTAGCAGTGGGTTTTCTATGGCAGCTGCTATGCTGCACTTTTCTAGGTAGCCAATCGACTGCCCCCTTTGAAGAGCCACCGACCACCGCTGCCGGTATTGGTGTAGAAGCTTGGCAGCTTGGTAGGAGGTGGGCTCGGCGTTGAAGAACCGCCTTGCAGCTGTATCCGCGAGCAATTTCAGGAAGTCCACTGTTTCCGGGCATGGGCACCCATACGTCTCGACCGCTAGCGGGAAAAACTTCACCCACTCCGGGCGGTCCGTGTACAAGCCGTGCTTCTTGTCTGCAGCTTCTCGTGCCGCCCATCCCCGCCCCTTAGATGCATTCTCGTCGCGGGTGCTGATGGGGTCCGTCACCGTCACATCACAGATGTAGACGGCGCCGGTGGAGCGGCATCGTAAGGCCAAATCCGCCTTCTTCTCCTCCACGGGGCTGAAAGCGGCCGTTTCTATGTGTACCATGAATCCAGCATCTCGTGCCATCCGTGCGCACTCATCCCGTAACTCATTGTGTGTGTTTGTGCGTCCCCCCCCCGTGCCGCAGCGTAGCAGGTGGTTCGGTAACCGCTTATCTGGGATCTTCACCTTCTTTGAACAGTTGCAAACCCCTGGCGCAGCGAAGGGGAGGCCCAGCCGGAACTGGACCGCGTTGGCATAGTGAGGGGCCTCTAGGCGTAGCGAGGAGTGGATGGGCACGGCGTTTAACCAGTCCCCAGCCCCGTACCCTGACAGGGACAGCAGCCGCTGCGTGTGGCCGTTGTTGGGGTTTGGCCTCATCCCCCGCGCCTCCTCCACCTGCACTGCATAGCGCTGGCCTTGGATCGCTGTGGCCAGGCCGTGCTGCAGCTTCCCCGCAGTTGGAGCTGTTCTTTCTGCTTGCAGGGCCTCTTGCGCCGGCAGGGGGAGCTCCTCCTCACAATCCGCTAGCCATTCGGTCAAAGGAGAGGACCGCGTGTATGGGCCGCGCATCAGCTCACGTGTAGCGTCCAGTGGGCCGATGCGCTCGCCATCCAGGGAGTCAAGCAGCAGCTGCGCCTGCGTGTAGCTGGCGAGGAAGCTGTAGCCTCCTTCCACGGTGGGGTCGGTCAGGCCGAGCCCTCCCAACGACACGGGGAGAGAGGCTTGCGCCCACGTGCGTGAAGATTCCTCCCCGCGCGGGTGATTGATGCCGCATGCCGTCAGGAGCGTTTCCAGCAGCCTCCTTCCCCATTCTGACCACTCCTCCTTGGGCAGGGATGGCAGCGGCGTTGTGCGGGCTAGGTAAGACACTCGGCGCGAGATGCACCGAGAAAGCAGCAGCCCAGCCAGCTGCGGCTCCATCTGCTCAATCAACCCCAGAGGCGCTCCCATTGCCTCCAGGCTGGATCGCACAAAAGCTGAGGTAGCCGTGGTGGTGCCGATGTAGCTCCTCAACACCTTCAAGCCGTCATGGCTTGGGGGAACTCCTTCAGGTAGGTGTACATCTGTGGGCGGCCCATCTGACCACGCCCCGCACTTTGCAGGGTTGTGCCTCAGGCCTATTTTTGCCAGGCGGCTCGTGAAGTTGTTGAACGCTGCGGCACATAACGACGGTTCTCCCAAAAAGGTGACGTCGTCCGCGTAGGCAAGGCAGATGACGTCTGGATGTGCCTCCGCGGCCGCCTTCAGGGCTGGGTGCATGGCCGCGGCAAAGAGAAGGGGGCCAAGGGGATCCCCCTGGCGGACTCCCGTCTCGCTAAGCAGGGGGAGGGTGATTGAAGGCCGCGTCCAGATGCAGAGTGGACGGCTGGCCGTAGGAGAAGTGTACCAGTGGCAGCAGCGGTTCAAGCTTCGAGCCCTTCAATGCCGCCGCTATGGCGTGGCGATCGACACTATTGAAGGCGTTCGCCAAATCGGCCTGTAGGACCAGCGCGTTTCTGTTGGCCGCGGTGAAGGTTCGTACGACGTGAATGACCGCTTCCGCTCCTCCAGGGACAGCCACGCCGAATTGAAGAGGTAAGAAGAACTCTCGCGCAGCTTCTGCTAGCTGGGAAAGTGCGGCCTTTGCTGCTAATCGGAGGATACACTCGCCTATGGCAATCGGCCTGGTTCCTCCGTCGGGCTTGTCAAGGGCAATCAACCGCGATGCAGTGAGGAGCCGCCCTACCTCCACACCTAGCTTTCCGCGCAAGATGGTGTTGACGAGCGCGTGTAGGTGAGTGCTGACTTCAGTGTGCATCAGGGCTGCTTCGCGCAGGTGCTCGAACGTCGTGCCTGAAGGGCCCGCCCCTACCCCATTCTCACATTTGGAGAGAAGCTTCAGGAAGACTTCCCGTGAAACTGACAGGTAAGAATCTGGTTCGGGTTGGGGCCACGGAGTGTCAGGGCGCTGGGCACTTGGGTGTTTGGCGCGCAGTGAATCCAGAACTTCAAGGGACGGCGTGCTGACTGGCGTGGCTTCAAGTGCCATAACGGCCCTCCTCAGACTGCCACGTCGCGCCAGTCCTTCAGCTCTGGAGATCATCCCCAGGGTGTCTGGCTGATGCCTTGGGGGGGGAGGGAGATTGAGCGAGTCCACTGTCTCCTGGTACAGTGATTCCCACTCCCCTCGCAGGAATTTGTGCAGACGATTTTTGGTGGCCTTCCAATCAGGGTGCTTTGGTGAGTGCTGACGCAGCGTCAGGCGAGCGGCAAACAGTAGCACAGTCCAGGCTTGGGTGGAGTGAGGGTCGCGGGCGAGACGCAACAGTGGCGTCAGGATAACCATTCCGAAAAGAAGGCGGAGTTTTTCCGGCAGGCGACCTGTCAGAGGTGAGTTGCGGCTGTCGCGAAGCAAATCCAGGTCCCGGTCAGTAACGCATGCGAAAAGCGTGTCGTCCCTAGCGAGGGCCTTCGGCGATTTTTGGGGGGGTGGCTGTGTCTGCTGCTGGTTACCCAACGCCACCGTACGTGGTGCAGTGGCAGGTGCCGGTGTCAGGTTTGGAATGGCGGGCTGGTTGGCAGCGGTGGCGGGGTTGGCAGTGGTGGTTCGGCGCTGTGGAGAGGGTCGCGGCTGGGTGGGTGTAATGTGGAAATTCGTTGACGCGCTTCGGGCGTGGGTTGCGATCGTCCTCTGCCGAGCAGGAATTTGTGAGTCAGCCTCTTCAGAGGCATTCGAACTTGAGTCCACGGCATCTTCCTCCGCCTCATAAATACTCCCCGAAACAGCTTCAACATCATTAGCTTCTTCCAACGTAATTAAAGCCCGCCTTGCTGCCGCCTGAAACGCGTTCTCCGGGCCACCTTCTCGCGCACCTCTGCCGCGCCCGCGACCTCCGGCGCGTCCTCCTCTCGACCGCGCGCTGGCCGCGGCCAGCTGTGGGCCTCCTCGATTTCCTTCCCCCGCGCTCTGACGCAGTCGTGCGTCCTCCAATGCCTGCTGCCGACGCGTTCGCTGCGATGGTGACAGAAGCGGCGAGGTCAGTGGTGGACCAAGGGCACACCGCTGAGAGCGTGCTTGCTCCACCCCCCGGTCCTGCTGCCCCTGCCGTCCAGGCTCCTGCTGCTCCAACTGCTCCCCTGGATCCGTCCGCCGCCGCTGCGTCGCCGACGGCCCCAATCCTAATGGCGTCTGCTCCCCCGCCAAACCTCCCACCTCCTCTCGGTGCTCTCGCCCCTGGTGCGTCCGCGCCTGTAGCGCCGCAGCCGCCTGCGGCGTCACCACCTGTCCAGGCTGCTGCTGGTGTCCCTGCGCAGGGGACAGCGGCGGGCGCCGCCCACGGCCCCGCGCAGCAGGTCGCTCCTGCGTTTGCGCCGGTTCAGCCCGTTGCGCAGCAGCGCGCGGAGTCAAGCAGTCGCGGCGCTGCTGGAGGCAGTGCGGCGGCGCAGCGGGGGCGAGGTTCTCCTCGGCGTCGCCCCTCACCCTCGTACCGGAATGCGCATCGCGGAGGCCGCGGTGGCTGGTGGGGAGGTCACGGTCGCGGGCGTGAGGCGCCAAGCGAGGTGCAGCAGTTGCGCGACGAATTCCCTGGCATGCTGGCCGCGGCGATGCGCGCGGCTCTGAGCAGTGCGCCGACTCCTGGCAGCTCGCTGGCTGCTGCTGCTGCACCGCACTCCCCTGCTCCTGCGGCTGTCCCGGCTCCCCTTGCTGCACACGCGGCTCCTGCGCCGAGTGCTCAGGCATACCAGCAGGGACCAGCCGCGGCTCGCCCTGTCTCCGCTGCCCCATATCCTCCTCGTCCATGGATTCCCCCCGTTCCGGGCACGGGATTTGTGGGAGCGGGAGGCGGAGCGGCGAGGGGGCCATTCCGCCCTCCGCGGCGTGTTGACGAGGTTGCGGCTGCCCCTCCTCCGCCAGCTCTTCCCGTTCCTGTCGCGGCGAGGCTGACCGGGACTGCTGAAGTGCCCACGGCGACCCTTGCGCAGCTATGGCGCTTGGTGGAGTGCCAGCAGGCCCTGACACTGATTCTGGTGAACTCGCACTTTGCCATCCTCCGGAACCCAGGGAGCACTCTCGATCCGATGGCGCGAGCTGATTGTGTGGCAGCAGCCACGCAGCTTGCCTTCCTCCTGCTACCCATGCTGGGAGCGCCCGCGCCGGGAGGCGTTGCGGTAACGCAGCTGGACGCGACTGTCCAGGATCTGACTGGACACCTCCACAATGGAGGCGCCGTTGAAGCTCTTGGCGCGACCGCGTTAGTGGTCCGCCAGATGTGGAGGACCATGCGAGGGATCCTCGCGGCACTAGACGCCCATTTGATGTAGGTTGTGGCGCCCGCCGCACGTAGACGTGCTGCATCTTGTTTGTCTAGATGTTGCTTGTGAAGTATGCCTCCATTGTGTCTTGCGTGTCATTTGTGTCTTTTCCTGAGTTGTTGCTTGCCACCCGAGAGCACGCGGCCGAAGGCCGCGCACGCAAGCGCTGGCGGCCGCAGGCCGCCGGCGCGAGCGCCGAAGAAAAACTGGCACCAAACAAACTAATGGCAGAGAAATGACCCCAAAGGCCCTATATATAGCTAGAGGGCAGAGGCAGAGGCTAGAGGCAGAGGCTAAGTCCTCTCTCTCTCTCTCTCGCTCTCTCCACGCCGAAGAAAAACTGGCACCAAACGAACTAATGGCAGAGAAATGACCCCAAAGGCCCTATATATAGCTAGAGGGCAGAGGCAGAGGCTAGAGGCAGAAGCTCTCTCTCTCTCTCTCTCTCTCTCTCTCTCTCTCTCTCTCTCTCTCTCTCTCTCTCTCTCTCTCTCTCTCTCTCTCTCTCTCTCTCTCTCTCTCTCTCTCTCCTCAATGTCCCCCTGTATGTGTGTGCGTGCGTGCGTGCGTGCGTGCGTGAGTGAGTGAGTGAGTGAAAGTGAGCTGCAGGCGAAGTCTTTCAGAGAGTGGAGCTCACCACGTTGACAGGGTTGGTCGGATTGGGGTGAGCAGGTTAACGGTGGTCAGATAGATTCAGAAAAGATTGGATGTAGGTGGGAGAGATTTTGTGTATCTGACATTGGTGAATTACTTGCTCAACAATTCTTTTGGCCTATTTAGTTCTCACATGACAAGGAAATATGATTATGGTTGATCTATACTTATTCTAGGGATTTTAATAACAAACACATTATTGCTGGTTTCACATTTTATAGCTTCAGGCGGGTTTGTCAGGACATTGTGCAAAGCTTTTAAAAGTTTTTGTTTTGTTGTGTACTCAACTTCCCATATGTCCATTCAGGTTGAACTAATATGCAAACTTACTTCAGTCTATAAACGGCACAATGAATCAGCACATACCGTGAACACAAACCCTAACCTTCAATCCTCCTGAAACCTTACGAACTGTCACCGACGGGGTAGGCCCTCACAATGGGAGCGTGATATAATCTTTCTTTTTTCAGAGACAACGCTCGAGGGCTTGCACCACGTCCGACTTGTTCGTAACGGGCATGATCGTCTCAACCACACTCTCGTTTTTGTAAATCTTCACAACAGGCACGGATCGGACGCCCTGAGAACTGGCCGTTTGGGAGTTCGCGTCGGTGTCCATTTTGAAGACACGAGCCCTTCCTGAATATTCCGCCGCAAGCTGGTCAATGGAGGGAGCGATAGCTACGGCAGGACCGCAACATGGAGCGTAGAAGAAGACGAGGGCGGGAAGCAAACTCTCCAGAACAAGTTCCGTGAAGTCGGCATCTGTCACAGTCGTCGCCATTGAAATCAGCTACTAGCGCGTGTTACTAAATTAGAATGGAGATTGAGAGTAAACGCGCTGTGAACGTGACGGGAAGTTTGGAGGCCGACGACTACCAAATGACTGGTACTAGTCCTATAAATATAATGGCACTTCGCCTACACCCCAAGCACTTGCGGATCCGATGCACGCTGCAAGTGAATGTGAGCGGATCTGACGTGGCGGGGAGTGACGTTTGGAGAGGCCAGTTATGGGAGGAGCGCCCACCGCCAGCCTTGCGTGGTATGTGGAGACCTTCGTCTCGTGGGGGCGATCGTGGGCATTATCCTGCGCGGATACACAGCTGGAGCGCATTTTACGGTTCTCCAAACGTTATCCATTCGGGCAAGCGCTAATAGCCCGAGCCCGAGCCTGTTTGACGCGGTTGCGGAGGCGGAAAGAGCGCCATGCTGTGAGGGTCAAGAACAATGCCGCGTTCCCGTCCTCAATAACCGGTCCGTGTGGTGGTAAGCTAAGGGCGTGGAACATTTTTACGACCACGCCGATTTATCGACCATTTGGTTGGATCTGGCGAAAGCGAAGGGTGTAACAGAGTTGCGAAGGGTGCGAAATTTCTAAGCTATACTGCTCGCCAGCACGCGGGGCACCCAATAGAAAACACCCCCACTAAGCAGAAACATTTGTTCCCACTTTAAGCATTCGAAAGGGGTGTGGGATATTGGGGACGGCGGGAAATGAGTAGAATGTGGGGCAAACGCAATTGAGGGTAAGTACTGGAAGTCAAATAATGTACACCATTTAAATTCTTCGCAATCGCCAGAAACAACGATCGTTCCGACCAAAAGGCGTGGTCGTAAAAATGTTCCACGCCCTAAGCTGGGTTTGGTTGTCAGTCGCCTGCGATTCAGTGGGGTGGGAAAGGATGAGATGCGGTTAGTGGTTGACCGCGGTCAAGAAGGTTGGTTTAGTGGCGGTCGGGAGAGGAAAGGTTGGTTGAGTGGCGGTCTGGTGGGTAGCGAGCGATACTGTGTGATTCGTGGTGACCTAACAGAGTTGCGAGACTGTACAAAATGTACATAATTCATTTATCATGCGCGTTATGAAGCAAGATTCGAATTTCGAGTGTTAATTCTTTTTCTGGATCAAACGTATATCTGGTGGGTGCTAGAGGTTTTCTTAATGTTTGGTAACATGGGGAAATAACATCAAAGCTTTTCCCTGTATCACATTTTGAAACAAAGCTAATTGCTCCTCCTCTCGTAGGTAGGAGCCAACGAATCCAGGAGACGCCTAGGGGAAAGCGTTGAAGGGATGACGAGACTGTGACGATTGGTTGCGACGACGCATCGTCAGGATGTAGAGAGGCTGGAAAAATGCGTCCGCAAAAAAGAGATAGACTGAGAAAACGAGAGTAAGGCTTGATGAGATCATATGGCGTACGAGGTTTCAGCAGACCAGAAATCCTAATGCGTGCGAGATAGAGTGGAGCTTGAATTCCCTGATGGTGCAACATATTGACGTCATGCAGCGGACGCATGGTCGAGGGGAACGCCTAAAAGGCTAATTTGACGCGCTGGAAAGGGTGTACGCACGAAACGACACGTCAGGAAAGCTATGAAAGAAATAAAGCGCATCCGGCCTTAAAACGTGTGAAGACGCGTGCTGGACTCGAACGAATACAATGAGTCGTTCGATGGAGGTAGCATGCGCCATAGAACTTGCGTGGTGAGCTTTGGGATGAGTTGGAGAACTGCAAGGAAGATTTGCACCAAACCATGGCCGCTTGTCAAGCAAAAAATGTCTTGGCTAGCAGAAAATTGGCCTGACAGGGCTGACAGGAAGCAGGAGTCAATTTGGAGGGGCGTGATTCGCACGCACCAAGGATTTACTGTAGCCTAAATTTTGCTTGAAAATACATGACTGAAGTGGCACGACTACCTAAACATTTCACACTGGGTAGCTGCAATGTGCTCGCGAACCATCCAGTATTGCAGAGGTTTCGACTTTTATTTCCTAGCCCACACGTCTAAATACGCCTTTGCACCCACGATGGAATCGGAGGAGTTCGTCCGTGATAGAAGCCAGCCTTCTGATTCAAACTTGAACGACGAAATCGCGCGCATCGGCGGAAATCGTGTTTGTCTCAAAAGAATCGACCCAAATTGCTCCCCGCTCGCCACGTGGGCGTTTTTCTCAATTGATTCGACCCCCTTTCCCCCCGCCCCCCCACCCCGTTTTTCCCGCCCTTGCCCTCCGAAATTCGGGCACCCGCTAGAATCTCGCAAAATCACAAAACGTCACGAATACATGTTTTTTCGTAACGCTAAGATTTCAACATGCGAGCGACATCTGATTGGACAGAACACCTATGACTTCTAATGATAAATTTAGCAGTAATATGGATTTTATTAATTATGTGCCACTGCAGTAACATATTTTTTTAATCTTTGTAATACGAGTAAATATTCTTTTCTAAATAATATCAAGAAGTACAATCAAACAAAATATCTACCTATTTCAAAAGGGATTTATTTTTATTTGCAGTGGAGCTATTATTATTATTACTCTTAGTTTAACTCTTGGTTTTTTAAGTTTTCTGGAATAAGCTTCATGTAGATATATAGAAAACATAAAGAAACTATAGGTTGATTTGTCATGTGTTTTTTTTTTGCGCCCTTATCTACATTACTGGCATGGGCTAATCCAAAAAAATACGATACAATCAACGTGCATATGAGCCTCCTGAGATTGAGAAGCAACCGCCGAAATTATCGATTGCGAAAGCTGATGTGGCATGCCACAACTACATGGTGGATTTGGCATGATGTAAAAAGCATGTATTCGTGACTTTTTGTGATTTCACGAAATTCCAGCGGGTGCCCGAATTTCGGAGGGCAAGGGCGGGAAAAACGGGGTGGGGGGGCGGGGGGAAAGGGGGTCGAATCAATTGAGAAAAACGCCCACGTGGCGAGCGGGGAGCAATTTGGGTCGATTCTTTTGAGACAAACACGATTTCCGCCGATGCGCGCGATTTCGCCAACTTGAACTCCTCGATCTAGCAGTCTGCAGGTAATCTCACTAACTCTCAAAGCGCTTGTGGCGTTTCTTGGTTCGCTGCATGGTTCGCGAATAGCAACGCGCGTGGAATCCACGTCGCGTATCCCGTTGAAGTTAGTTCGTCCGTTTGTTTCCCATGCTCCGATGGAACAGCTCCATTTTCCTCGTCTAGGCCAGTCCGTGACAAAATCGAAGATCTTTATCCCTCATAGAATGTCGGTACCGAGGTCCATTTCAACGAAATCCTTGCTCTCTAGTTCCGCGATTCTCGCAGACCGCCATTGCCGTGTCCCTAGAGGCTCATTAGCCCGAGCTGGCAGGAGAGACTCATTTGGCCTTGCAACTGGTCCGTCTTTTACGTCCTTCGAACTCGAGAATGGTTTCCGACGACCCTCGGCGATTGGTCTCGCAGATAGGTTAGGCGCGAGGGAAAGCTACACTGCACGTCGCTTACCGTCGCAGTCCGTCGCAGCAACCGTCGCAACAGATAGCCTAGGCGGCTCCTTGCGATCGTCCAGTCGGGCGAGGAGAGCAGCAGCGCCGGCGACTGTAGCGGCTGCGCGTCCAGCTGTCGCCGCTGCAGTCGCGTCAGAACGAACAGCAGCAAAGGCTGTAGCAGCGTCTGTAACATCATCCGCAGCAACACCCGTAGCACCGGTGGGAATGCCCCAATTTCGCGCACCCAAACTGCCGAAAGCAGCCATCGGTGAGGTTCTGGGGGGGATATTCGGCGCAACAAGCCCCGCGGAGAAGACACGTCAGCAGTACGCGGAGCAGCTGGCGCGGGTTAACCGGCTGGAGGCGATCGCGTCGAGATTGTCGGACGCTCAGTTGCGCGGGACGACCAGAGACCTGCAGCAAAGGGTGGCTGCTGGCGAGACCCTCGAGAGTGTGCTCCCGGTATAGTCACTTTTAGTCCGCTCTCAGTATATTCGCTTTGAGTAACCTTTCAAGTGTCTGCTCTCGGTATAGTCAATTGCATGAAGTTTCTCTAGAGTGTGCTGCTGCTGCTTACCCACTTGCTGCGTTGCCTACCTGCTGCTATTTTCCTTGTTTTAACTTCCCCAATCTGTTCCGCGACTTTTCACATTTCCCTTCCCACTGGCAGGAGGCGTTTGCTGTTGTGCGAGAAGCTTCTAAGAGAGTTCTTGGCCTGAGGCCTTTTGATGTGCAGCTCATAGGTACACCCAAACACACGCCGCTCATCCCAACAACCAACCCATTCTTGGTAACGCTCTGCGGCTGAACAGCTTTGTTCATATCACCCCTCTTCTTATTTTATTTGACAACTCTTCTTTCCACACTACCATATTCCTTAAACCAGCCTTGCATGCCGCTGATTGGTCGCAATCACCTCGTCCGTGGTTTCCGTGTGTTTGGTTCAATGTCTGTGTGCCCCGTGGCATGTGGATGCCCGTGAACATGCCAGGTGGCATGGTGCTGCATGACGGTCAGATCGCTGAGATGCAGACAGGGGAAGGCAAGACACTCGTGGCCGTGCTCCCTGCCTACCTCAACGCTCTCACAGGTGTGTATGTAGGGGGGGGGTGGAGGGGGGCGTGTGTGTGTGTGCTTGGTTGAGACTATGAAAGGCACTGGTGGCGGTGCTGCCTGTCTACCTCTACGCCCTCACTGGTGTGTGTGTGGGGCGTGTTTGTACGTCATGTGACTGCGTGCAAGCATAGACAGAGGGGCATAGTGCTGCATGACGGGCAGATTGCTGAGATGCGGACGGGGGAAGGCAAGACCCTGGTGGTCGTGCTCCCTTCCTGCCTCAACGCCCTCACAGGTGAGGAGTACTTGTGTTCGTGGCATATGATGTGACTGCATGCAAGTGTAAGGCAGGGCAGGGCTTAGTGCTGCATGACGGGCGGATTGCTGAGATGCGGACCGAAGGCAAGACGCTGGTTGCGGTGCTCCCTGCCTACCTCAACGCCTTCACAGGTGTGCGTGTAGGGGGGCGTGATTGTACGTCATGTGACTGAATGCAAGCATAGACCGGGGGGGCATGGTGCTGCATGACGGGCAGGTTGCAGAGATGCGGACGGGGGAAGGCAAGACATTGGTTGCTGTGCTCCCTGCCTACCTCAACGCCCTCACAGGTGGGTGTGTATGTGTGGGTGTGGGTGGGTGTGGGTGGGTGGGTGGGTGTGTGTGTGTGTGTGTGTGTGTGTGTGTGTGTGTGTGTGTGTGTGTGTGTGTGTGTGTGTGTGTATGTGTGTGTTTGTGAGGGCGCGCGCGCGCGCGCGCGCGCGCGCGTGTGTGTGTGTGTGTGTGTGTGTGTGTTTGTGTGTGTGTGTGTGTGTGTGTGTTTCGCGAGTATGTGTGCACACACGTGCAAACGTTGTTGTGTGTCCTCTATCGATCTCGGCCTCCCCCAAACCCTCCCCACAAAAAAATAACAACCTTCTGTTGTTTTGCAAAAATTGGCATCGAGTTTGAAACCCTATGCCCTCCCTTCTCCCCACGCAAGGGCGTGCACGTGGTGACGGTCAACGACTATTTGGCTCGCAGGGATGCCGAGTGGGTGGGGCAGATCCACAAGCTGCGCGCCTCGTGTGTGTTTATAAGCCCACACAAATACAACATTCTCCTTCTGCCCAACCCCTTCCTCCGCAGGCAAGGGCGTGCACGTGGTGACGGTCAACGACTACTTGGCTCGCAGGGATGTGGAGTGGGTGGGACATATCCACAATGTGTCTTTGTGTGTGTGATTGTTGAACTATATTGATAAATAATACTCCATGTTTCCATCCCTTCCTCCGCAGGCAAGGGCGTGCACGTGGTGACAGTCAACGACTATTTGGCTCGCAGGGATGCCGAGTGGGTGGGACAGATTCACAAGTATTTGGGTCTCTCTGTCGGCCTCATTCAACGTAAGCACCTCGCTGTAAGCCTTATTCGACATAAACACTTTCTTGTTAGCCTTATTCATTAGAAATTTGTACATTGTAGCCTTGTTCAGCCTTGGTATCAATTAACCCCTGCAATTCATGATTTCACGTTGCCATCCTCCCGTGCTGTCTGCTCTCCTCGCCTCACAGAGGGCATGACGGCGCAGCAGAGGAGGGAGAGCTACGCGTGTGATGTCACGTACGTCACCAACAGCGAGCTGGGATTCGACTACCTCAGAGACAATCTTGCTACTGTGAGTGCCTTTTTTAGTTGACTCAAACTTCACCTGGTGAGGAGAGAGGGAGGGAGGGAGAGCTATGCATGTGATGTCACATATGTCACCAACAGCGAGCTGGGATTCGACTACCTCAGGGACAATCTCGCCACTGTGAGTGCCTTTACTCTTTTGCGTCGACGCAATATTCACCTGGTGAGGAGGGAGGGAGAGCTATGCATGTGACGTGACATACGTCACCAACAGCGAGCTTGGATTCGACTACCTCAGAGACAATCTCGCCACTGTGAGTGTCTTTACTCTTTTGCGTCGATGCAATATTCTCCTGGTGAGGAGGGAGAGCTACGCGTGTGATGTCACGTATGCCACCAACAGCGAGCTTGGTTTCGACTACCTCAGAGACAATCTCGCCACTGTGAGTGTCTTTTGAGTTGACTCCAAATTCACCTGGTGAAGAGGGAGGGAGAGCTACGCGTGTGATGTGACATACGTCACCAACAGTGAGCTGGGATTCGACTACCTCAGAGACAATTTTGCCACTGTGAGTGTCTTTTGAGTCGACGCAATATTCACCTGGTGAGGAGGGAGGGAGAGCTATGCGTGTGACGTCACATATGTCACCAACAGCGAGCTTGGTTTCGACTACCTCAGAGACAATCTCGCCACTGTGAGTGGAGTGGAAGTCTAAGTGCACTTTGCAACTGTGTTGCCATTGTTTGTGAATGTCTCTTGCCTGTTCCTTTCCTCCCTCTTCCCATCCATCCCATCCCATCCCTACCTTTGCTCGCCTTCGTTCCTGTAACTTACCTTCTCCCCCTCGTCCACTCCAAGGCGGACCTAGTCGTACCCTCCTTCAACTTCTGCATTATTGATGAGGTCGGCTCCATGTTGATAGACCAGGCCCTCACACTCACTTCCCTCCATTCCCTCCCCCGACACTTGCCATCCCGTCCCTCTCCATTTCCAGTCCAAGGCGGACCTGGTTGTTCCCGCATTCAACTTCTGCATTATTGATGAGGTCGACTCCATTCTCATCAACGAGGCCCGCACGCGTGCTGACTCCCCTCCATTCCCTTGCCATCCCTTCTCATCACTCGCCTCCCCCTCATCCAGTCCAAAGCAGACCTGGTTGTGCCCGCATTCAACTTCTGCATAATCGACGAGGTCGACTCCATTCTGATCGACGAGGCCCGCACACCGCTCATCATATCAGGGCCCGCAGAGAAGCCCAGCGAGCGGTACCTTATCGCTGCCAAGATCGCTGCTGCGTTTGAGAAGGGCGTGCACTACACGGTGCGTGGGTCAGTAGGTTGTCTTGGATTGACTGTTACTCCTGATGCTCTGGTGACAGATGAGGCCCGCACACGCCGCTCACAATCTCAGGGCCGGCAGAGAAGCCCAGCGAGCGATACCAAGTTGCTGGAAAGCATGCTGCTGCTTTTGAGAGAGATGTGCATTACATGTGAGTTGCCATAGAAGGTTTGGCTTGTCGTCCCAAGGTGTGCTTCCTTTTCCGTATTCTTTCCATGCCTGCCTGCCTTTCTGCCTTCCCTGTCACTCAGGTGGACGAGAAGCAGAAGGTGGTGCTGCTAACAGAGACAGGCTATGAGGAAGCAGAGCTGGTTTTAAAAGTCACAGACCTCTACGACCCCAAGCAGCAGTGGGCGTCCTTCCTCCTCAACGCAATTAAAGCCAAGGAGCTCTTTACCAAGGACGTACAGTACATTGTGCGCGACGGCGCGGTGCTTATAGTGGATGAGTTCACAGGGAGGATAATGGAGGGGCGGCGGTGGAGTGAGGGCGTGCACCAAGCAGTGGAGGCAAAGGAGGGCGTGGCGATTCAGAACGAGACTGTCAGTTTGGCGTCTATCAGCTACCAGAACTTCTTCCTGCAGGTATTAATACGTGCTTGCATGGATGGTGGGCTTGCATGGGGAATGGGCTTGCATGGAGCGAGGGCGTGCATCAAGCAGTGGAGGCGAAGGAGGGCGTGGCGATTCAGAACGAGACGGTTAGCCTCGCTTCAATAAGTTACCAGAACTTTTTTCTGCAGGTATGTTATGGCAGCTGTATGCATGCATGCATGACGTGCTTGCATGTGAGGTGGGGTTGTGGAGCAAGGGTGTGCATCAGGCAGTGGAGGCGAAGGGGGGCGTGGCGATCCAGAACGAGACAGTCAGCCTCGCTTTAATCAGCTACCAAAACTTCTTCCTGCAGGTATGAAAGGCCAGCAGACTGTGTGCGAGACCATCTGGGCAGCACGTGCTTGCATAGATGGTGGGGGTGGAGCGAGGGCGTGCACCAGGCAGGACGTGCCTGCATGGACGGGTGGGCTGGTATGGTTGTGAGGTGAGGGCGTGCACCAGGCAGTGGAGGCGAAGAAGGGCGTGGCAATTCAGAACGAGACAGTCAGTTTAGCCTCCATCAGCTATCAGAACTTCTTCCTGCAGGTATGGCAGGCCAGGCCAGCTGAGTGGTTTTTTAGAATTCCCAAAAATCACTCACAAGTGTTGTGTAGTGAGTGCGTGCACCAGACTCCCATCCTAATTCTCGACAACCCCAATCCCTGTGTGTGTCCCATGGCAGTACCCCAAGCTGTGTGGTGTGTGGTGTGTGCTGTGCGCTGTGCATTGTGTGCTGTGCGTGTGGTTGGGACATGACTGGCCAAGCAGCCATGTGATAATTTGAAATTGGTTGCAAGCAGTTGAAACCATCCCATCCTAATTCTCGACAACCCCAATCCCTGTGTGTATCCCATGGCATGACCGGCACGGCACAGAGGCATCAGCTGTTGAGAAAGGTGTATGTCACCACTCCTCCTTTCCCCCTTTCCCCCATCCCCCCCGGCTCTCCTTTTTACTTCATGTCCGGCTGTCTGCAGTACCCCAAGCTGTGCGGCATGACTGGAACGGCAGCCACAGAGGCAGACGAGTTTGAGAGCATCTACAAGCTTTCTGTAGCAGAAGTCCCCACCAACCGACCCTTGCAGCGGAAGGTGAGAATCTGAGTGGGGACTAATGCAGCAGCAGCAGCAGCAGCGGCAGCCACAGAGGCAGACGAGTTCGAAAGCATTACAAGCTTTCTGTAGCAGAAGTCCCCACCAACCGACCCCTGCAGAGAAAGGTGAGGGCAATGTGTTGCATTTGTGGTGGGTGCTGTAGCATTGTAGCATGAAGCAACACCGTGTGTCATGCCCGACTGGTTCAACAAAGCCACAAAGGCAGACGAGTTCGAAAGCATCTACAAGCTTTCTGTAGCAGAAGTCCCCACCAACCAGCCTCTGCAGAGGAAGGTGAGGCGCTGAATTGAATGGTGAGGTTGGTGTTCCTTCGTAGCTTGCAGTGGTGGCGGATGTGAAGGGGCGCCATGCAGAGGGACGGCCGGTGCTGGTGTTGTCGCACCTGTACTATCCTTCTTTACTGTGCTGTATCTCTCCCGTTTACTCTCTTTGCTCCACAGGACGAGCAAGACGTGGTGTATCGCACGTCAGTGGGCAAGTGGAAGGCGATGGTGGCGGATGTGAAGGGGCGCCATGTGGAGGGACGGCCAGTGCTGGTGGTCTATCATTCACTCCTTCCCTCTGTTGCTATAACCTTGCTACTCCTTCTCTTTACACCATCACAGGACGAGCAAGATGTAGTATACCGCACATCAGCAAGTGGAAGGCAGTGGTGGCGGATGTGAAGGGGCGGCATGTGGAGGGACGGCCAGTGCTGGTGGGAACCACGTCGGTTGAGATCAGTGAGGCACTCTCAGCCAAGCTGAAGGAGGCAAATGTTCCCCACCAGGTGTGAAGGGTGTGTGCTGTGCGGTGCGGTGCCGCTGGGGGCGATATCCTGCTATGCCATGTGCTGGTGGGCACCACGTCGGTTGAGATCAGCGAGGCACTGTCTGCCAAGCTGAAAGAGGCAAATGTTCCCCACCAGGTGAGGAGAGTATGTGCTGCGCTGTGCTGCCTGCTGGGAAGGCACCTGCGGCACCTCCCCTACCAGGAGGCGAAATGTGGGGAGACATGGGGGCATAGTGGCGCAGAGTGGGCTTTTCTATGCTCCTCCAAAGTCGTCTTTTAACCTGCCATTTTTACAGTGAAAGGCGGGAGAACGTGGACAGTATGGTTGTTTTTGAAAATTCTCAAAAAACAATCTACGGCCTACGTAGTGGCTCCGTGTGGGCGATGGGTGGTCGATGGGTAGGCGATGGGTGGTCGATGGGTGGTGACGATATCAACCAATATGCGCATTTTTCACCAATCCATCCTTCCTCCCCTCTTCTCAACCCCGCTCCTCACAGGTGCTGGACGCAAAGCCAGAGAACATGGAGAGAGAAGCAGAGATAGTGGCACAGAGCGGGCGTTGTGAGGATGGTGATAGTAGCAACCAGCACGGCTTCTTTCCACGTATATTCTCCCGTCCATCCATCCATCCATCCATCCATCCATCCATCCATCCATCCATCCATCCATCCATCCATCCATCCATCCATCCATCCATCCATCCACCACAGGTGCTGAACGCAAAGCCAGAGAACGTGGAGAGAGAAGCAGAGATAGTGGCACAGAGCGGGCGAGTGGGGGCGGTGACGATAGCAACCAACATGGCTGGGCGGGGAACTGACATCCTGCTGGGCGGCAATGCAGAGTTCATGGCCCGGCTGAAGCTCAGGGAGGCGCTTATGCCCAGGTGCAGTGCGGCCCAGTGCGGTGAAAGGCCGATGCTAAGGTGTACTGTGGAAGAATGTGTGGTGCAGTGTGGTGAAAGGTAGCAACCAACATGGCTGGGTGGGGAACGGAAATCCTTCTGGGTAGCAATGCTGGGATTCTGGTCCGGCTGAAGCTGAGGGAGGTGCTCATGACCAGGTGCAGTGTGGTGCAGTGTGGTTGAAGGGTGTGTGGTGCAGTGTGGTTGTAAATGTGTGGGACAGTGACAGTAGCAATATTGGTTAACCGCTTGTGTTTCTCTCTCCTCCTGAATGCTCTTACCTTCTCCCTCTTACCCTCTCCTCTCTACTTACCCTCTCCTCTCTACTTACCCTCTCCTCTCCTCTTACCCTCTCCTCTCCTCTTGCCCTCTCCTCTCCTCTTACCCTCTCCTCTCCTCTTACCCTCTCCTCTCCTCTTACCCGCTCCCCTGCTCCTTCGCTCTCCTCTGCCCCTGCCTGCTGCTTCCCACAGAGTGGTGAAAGCAGACGATGTGGCATTCATATTCCAAGGCAAAACAAAGATTTCCTTTTCAAGCTGCCCTCTCTGCTGCTCCTACCCTTTTCCTTTCCCTGCTTCTGCCCCCTCATTTGTACCTGCATGCATACTGCTGCCCACAGAGTGGTGAAAGCAGACGATGTGGCATTCATATTCCAAGGCAAAACGAAGATTGCTGTCAAACGATCCTGGACGGTAAGTCCTGCCCTGCCTTGTGCAATGAACCTGGTCGGTATTCCCTGCCATGGCCCATGTGCAAAGAACCTGGATGGTATGTTCTGCCATGTGCAATGAACCTGGATGGTATATGGCCTGCCATGTGTGGGAATCTTGTGTACCTCTCATTTCTCTCACCCACCCCTTCTTGTTTCTCCAGGTGCCAGCCAATCTCTTCCCCTGTTTAATCTCAGCTGATCTCACTGGTGGTGTGAAATAGTGTGAATTTTGAGACGTCTCACAACTCAACATTGTCACGTGGCCCCTCTTTTTTCTCCAGGTGCCGGCCAATCTCTTCCCCTGCCCTCTCTCGCCTGACCTCACTGATGCTGTGAACAAGGCGGTGCAAGCAGCAGTGGAGGCGTGGGGCTCTAAACTCGTGCTCTTCCAATCCCCTGCCCTCTTATGCCCATTCCCTGCCCTCTTATGCCCATTCGCTGCCCTCTTATGCCCATCCCCTGCCCTCTTATGCCCATCCCCTGTCCTCTTATGCCCATCCCCTGCCCTCTTATGCCCATCCCCTGCCCTCTTATGCCCATCCCCTGCCCTCTTATGCCCATCCACTGCCCTCCTTTCCCCATCCTCACCAGGTGCCGGCCAATCTCTTCCCCTGTCCTCTCTCGCCTGACCTCACTGATGCTGTGAACGAGGCGGTGCAAGCAGCAGTGGAGGCGTGGGGGAGCAGTTCGCTCACAGCACTGGAGGCAGAGGACAGACTGGCATTCGCATGTGAGAAGGTGAGAGCAGGTGGGGTAGGTATGTTAGGTCGCAGGCATCTGCACACAGGCAGCAGCAGCAGCAACCGAGCAGGCATGGGGCAGCAATTCGCTCACAGCACTGGAGGCAGAGGACAGGCTGGCATTCGCATGTGAGAAGGTGAGAGCAGGTGGGGTAGGTATGTTAGGTCGCAGGCATCTGCACACAGGCAGCAGCAGCAGCAACCGAGCAGGCATGGGGCAGCAATTCGCTCACAGCACTGGAGGCAGAGGACAGACTGGCATTCGCATGTGAGAAGGTGAGAGCAGGTGGGGTAGGTATGTTAGGTCGCAGGCATCTGCACACAGGCAGCAGCAGCAGCAACCGAGCAGGCATGGGGCAGCAATTCGCTCACAGCACTGGAGGCAGAGGACAGGCTGGCATTCGCATGTGAGAAGGTGAGAGCAGGTGGGGTAGGTATGTTAGGTCGCAGGCATCTGCACACAGGCAGCAGCAGCAGCAACCGAGCAGGCATGGGGCAGCAATTCGCTCACAGCATTGGAGGCAGAGGACAGGCTGGCATTCGCATGTGAGAAGGTGAGAGCAGGTGGGGTAGGTATGTTAGGTCGCAGGCATCTGCACACAGGCAGCAGCAGCAGCAACCGAGCAGGCATGGGGCAGCAATTCGCTCACAGCATTGGAGGCAGAGGACAGGCTGGCATTCGCATGTGAGAAGGTGAGAGCAGGTGGGGTAGGTATGTTAGGTCGCAGGCATCTGCACACAGGCAGCAGCAGCAGCAACCGAGCAGGCATGGGGCAGCAATTCGCTCACAGCATTGGAGGCAGAGGACAGGCTGGCATTCGCATGTGAGAAGGTGAGAGCAGGTAAGGTAGGTATGTTAGGTCGCAGGCATCTGCACACAGGCAGCAGCAGCAGCAACCGAGCAGGCATGGGGCAGCAATTCGCTCACAGCACTGGAGGCAGAGGACAGGCTGGCATTCGCATGTGAGAAGGTGAGAGCAGGTGGGGTAGGTATGTTAGGTCGCAGGCATCTGCACACAGGCAGCAGCAGCAGCAACCGAGCAGGCATGGGGCAGCAATTCGCTCACAGCATTGGAGGCAGAGGACAGGCTGGCATTCGCATGTGAGAAGGTGAGAGCAGGTGGGGTAGGTATGTTAGGTCGCAGGCATCTGCACACAGGCAGCAGCAGCAGCAACCGAGCAGGCATGGGGCAGCAATTCGCTCACAGCATTGGAGGCAGAGGACAGGCTGGCATTCGCATGTGAGAAGGTGAGAGCAGGTGGGGTAGGTATGTTAGGTCGCAGGCATCTGCACACAGGCAGCAGCAGCAGCAACCGAGCAGGCATGGGGCAGCAATTCGCTCACAGCATTGGAGGCAGAGGACAGGCTGGCATTCGCATGTGAGAAGGTGAGAGCAGGTGGGGTAGGTATGTTAGGTCGCAGGCATCTGCACACAGGCAGCAGCAGCAGCAACCGAGCAGGCATGGGGCACCAATTCGCTCACAGCATTGGAGGCAGAGGACAGGCTGGCATTCGCATGTGAGAAGGTGAGAGCAGGTGGGGTAGGTATGTTAGGTCGCAGGCATCTGCACACAGGCAGCAGCAGCAGCAACCGAGCAGGCATGGGGCAGCAATTCGCTCACAGCATTGGAGGCAGAGGACAGGCTGGCATTCGCATGTGAGAAGGTGAGAGCAGGTGGGGTAGGTATGTTAGGTCGCAGGCATCTGCACACAGGCAGCAGCAGCAGCAACCGAGCAGGCATGGGGCAGCAATTCGCTCACAGCATTGGAGGCAGAGGACAGGCTGGCATTCGCATGTGAGAAGGTGAGAGCAGGTGGGGTAGGTATGTTAGGTCGCAGGCATCTGCACACAGGCAGCAGCAGCAGCAACCGAGCAGGCATGGGGCAGCAATTCGCTCACAGCATTGGAGGCAGAGGACAGGCTGGCATTCGCATGTGAGAAGGTGAGAGCAGGTGGGGTAGGTATGTTAGGTCGCAGGCATCTGCACACAGGCAGCAGCAGCAGCAACCGAGCAGGCATGGGGCAGCAATTCGCTCACAGCATTGGAGGCAGAGGACAGGCTGGCATTCGCATGTGAGAAGGTGAGAGCGGGGTAGGTATGTTAGGTCGCAGGCATCTGCACACAGGCAGCAGCAGCAGCAACCGAGCAGGCATGGGGCAGCAATTCGCTCACAGCATTGGAGGCAGAGGACAGGCTGGCATTCGCATGTGAGAAGGTGAGAGCAGGTGGGGTAGGTATGTTAGGTCGCAGGCATCTGCACACAGGCAGCAGCAGCAGCAACCGAGCAGGCATGGGGCAGCAATTCGCTCACAGCATTGGATGCAGAGGACAGGCTGGCATTCGCATGTGAGAAGGTGAGAGCAGGTGGGTTAGGTATGTTAGGTCGCAGGCATCTGCACACAGGCAGCAGCAGCAGCAACCGAGCAGGCATGGGGCAGCAATTCGCTCACAGCACTGGAGGCAGAGGACAGGCTGGCATTCGCATGTGAGAAGGTGAGAGCAGGTGGGGTAGGTATGTTAGGTCGCAGGCATCTGCACACAGGCAGCAGCAGCAGCAACCGAGCAGGCATGGGGCAGCAATTCGCTCACAGCATTGGAGGCAGAGGACAGGCTGGCATTCGCATGTGAGAAGGTGAGAGCAGGTGGGGTAGGTATGTTAGGTCGCAGGCATCTGCACACAGGCAGCAGCAGCAGCAACCGAGCAGGCATGGGGCAGCAATTCGCTCTCAGCATTGGAGGCAGAGGACAGGCTGGCATTCGCATGTGAGAAGGTGAGAGCAGGTGGGGTAGGTATGTTAGGTCGCAGGCATCTGCACACAGGCAGCAGCAGCAGCAACCGAGCAGGCATGGGGCAGCAATTCGCTCACAGCATTGGAGGCAGAGGACAGGCTGGCATTCGCATGTGAGAAGGTGAGAGCAGGTGGGGTAGGTATGTTAGGTCGCAGGCATCTGCACACAGGCAGCAGCAGCAGCAACCGAGCAGGCATGGGGCAGCAATTCGCTCACAGCATTGGAGGCAGAGGACAGGCTGGCATTCGCATGTGAGAAGGTGAGAGCAGGTGGGGTAGGTATGTTAGGTCGCAGGCATCTGCACACAGGCAGCAGCAGCAGCAACCGAGCAGGCATGGGGCAGCAATTCGCTCACAGCATTGGAGGCAGAGGACAGGCTGGCATTCGCATGTGAGAAGGTGAGAGCAGGTGGGGTAGGTATGTTAGGTCGCAGGCAACAGCACACAGGCAGCAGCAGCAGCAACCGAGCAGGCATGGGGCAGCAATTCGCTCACAGCATTGGAGGCAGAGGACAGGCTGGCATTCGCATGTGAGAAGGTGAGAGCAGGTGGGGTAGGTATGTTAGGTCGCAGGCATCTGCACACAGGCAGCAGCAGCAGCAACCGAGCAGGCATGGGGCAGCAATTCGCTCACAGCATTGGAGGCAGAGGACAGGCTGGCATTCGCATGTGAGAAGGTGAGAGCAGGTGGGGTAGGTATGTTAGGTCGCAGGCATCTGCACACAGGCAGCAGCAGCAGCAACCGAGCAGGCATGGGGCAGCAATTCGCTCACAGCATTGGAGGCAGAGGACAGGCTGGCATTCGCATGTGAGAAGGTGAGAGCAGGTGGGGTAGGTATGTTAGGTCGCAGGCATCTGCACACAGGCAGCAGCAGCAGCAACCGAGCAGGCATGGGGCAGCAATTCGCTCACAGCATTGGAGGCAGAGGACAGGCTGGCATTCGCATGTGAGAAGGTGAGAGCAGGTGGGGTAGGTATGTTAGGTCGCAGGCATCTGCACACAGGCAGCAGCAGCAGCAACCGAGCAGGCATGGGGCAGCAATTCGCTCACAGCATTGGAGGCAGAGGACAGGCTGGCATTCGCATGTGAGAAGGTGAGAAATAGCTTGTGGGAGGTATGTTTGATATTCCGCGCGCAAGCAGCAGCAGCAGCACTGAAGTCAGCAGAGCAGGCGTGGAGGAGCAGTTCGCACACAGCACTGGAGGCAGAGGACAGGCTGGCATTCGCATGTGAGAAGGTGAGATCTGATGGGGTAGTAGGTAGCTTAGAGGGTATTCGCGATCGAGTCAGTCGCATGCGGGCCAGTAGCAGCAGCGGTGCAAGCAACAGCGCACGCTTGGGGGAGCAGTTCGCTCACTGCACTGGAGGCAGAGGACTGCCTGGCACTCGTATGTGAGAAGGTGAGAGGCAGTGGGAGACATGTTTGAAAGTGTGCATTTGCACACAGGCAGCAGCAGCAGAGCAGGCGTGGGGGAGCATTTCGCTCACAGCACTGGATTCAGAGGAATGGCAGGCATGGCTTTCGCATGTGAGAAGGTGAGAGCTGGTGGGGTGATGATGGACGGACAGTCGTTATGTTTTGACCGAGTCAAAGGCACGTGAGCAAAGGCCGCGGCAGCAGTGTAGGCACGGGGGAAATATTCCCTCACAGTCAGCAACTGAAATGAGGGTGTTTCTGAGACGTCTCAAAAGAACAGGCTGCAGCAGCAGTGTAGGCGCGGGGGAGCGATCCCCTCACAGCAAGGAACTGACCCTGTGGCAAAGCAACTGACCTGTGGCAAAGCAACTGACCCTGTGGCAAAGCAACTGACCCTGTGGCAAAGCAACAGACCCTGTGGTGAAGCAACTGAGAGCAGCGTGTGGGGACGTGGAGTGGGGGAAGAGTAGGGTCGTTGCTGCAAGAGACTGCTACCATTCTTCCCTCTCCCTCCTCTCCGCTCCCCCCTCTTCTCTTTCCCCCAGGGCCCCACGGTTGAACCTGTGGTGAAACAATTATGGGCAGCCTTTGAGGCAGTGGAGGGGGAGTATCGGCGATTCACAGAGGAGGAGAAGCGAAAAGTCGTTGCTGCCGGGGAGAGAAGAGGACTGCATGTGAAACCACACTATCATGCTTGTTCTTCCTCCCCGTCCTCTCCGCTCCCTACCCTTTCGTCCCCCCAGGGCCCCACAGCTGACCCTGTGGTGAAGCAATTAAGGGCAGCCTTCGAGGCAGTGGAGGGGGAGTATTGGCGATTCACAGACGGTATGTGAAAGGGAACCTCCAAGGGACCATGGAGAAATCTCGTTTTTTCCTCCCCCTCCAGGGCCCCACAGCTGACCCTGTGGTGAGGCAGCTAAGGGCAGCCTTCGAAGCAGTGGAGGGGGAGTGTCGGCGATTCAGAGAAGAGGAGAAGCGGAGCAGCGTTTCTGCAACATCATTATGCTTGTTCATCCTCTTCCCCATCTTCCCGCTTCCCTCTGTTCCAGGGCCCCACATCTGATCCTGTGGTGAAGCAACTGAGAGCAGCCTTCGATGCAGTGGAAGGGGAGTACCGGCGGTACACAGAGGAGGAGAAGCGGAAAGTCATTGCTGCTGGAGGCCTGCATGTGATCGGCACAGAGCGGCACGAGTCACGACGCGTGGACAACCAGGTGGGCTGCTTTTAGCACACAAATCAGTGCCATACGTGGTGGCTTTTGAGCCAACTCAAAGGTCACATTTTTAGCACGAGTCAGTGCATGCGTGGTTGCAGCGGGCAGCATGTAGTTTAGACCCAAGGATGTCACGGTTTGTTCTCAGCGTCGTGGATAGTTTGCTGAGGCTGTTTTGGGAACGAGAGGATCGACGGGCTGATGAGGGCCTTCCACGTGGAGGATCTGCCCATCGACTCACCGTTTCAGTTGCTGCCCTCACTGTGTTGTACCTCTCCCCCATCCCACGTTCCCCCTCTCCCCCTTCCCCTCTCCCCATGCTGCCTCCCCTGTTTCCCGCCTGTTCCCCCCAATCTCAACTCCCTTTTCTCCGTGCATCCAGCTACGCGGTCGCAGCGGCAGGCAAGGGGACCCAGGGAGCTCACGCTTCTTCCTGAGCCTCGAGGATAATCTTCTAAGAGTGTTTGGCGGGGAGAGGATCGATGGGCTGATGAGGGCCTTCCACGTGGAGGATCTGCCCATCGAGTCGCCGTTTCTGAACCGAGCGCTGGAGGATTGACGGCTTCATATGTACCTTTGACATGAAGGATCTAATCACGCACTCTCCCTATTCCTACCACCCTAACCAACACTCACCAGTTGCGCGGTCGCAGCGGGAGGCAAGGAGACCCCGGCAGCTCTCGCTTCTTCCTGAGCCTCGAAGACAATCTGCTGAGGGTGTTTGGAGGAGAGCGCATTGACGGGCTAATGAGGGCCTTCCACGTGGAGGATCTGCCCATCGAGTCGCCGTTTCTCAACCGAGCGCTGGAGGATGCGCAGAGGAAGGTGGAGAACTACTACTTTGACATTCGCAAGCAGCTGTTTGAGTACGATCAGGTGCGGTGTGGTGCGGTGCAGTGCGGTGCAGCTCACATGGTGTGCGCTGATACACGGGAGGATCTGCCGATCGAGTCACCGTTTCTCAACCGAGCGCTGGAGGATGCGCAGAGGAAGGTGGAGAATTACTACTTTGATATTCGCAACCATCTGTTCGAATATGACCAGGTAGGGTGCGTGCGGTGTGGTGCGGTGCGGCCCAGAGGTTGTGCACTGATTCTGCTCCAGTCTGCATTGGAGGATGCGCAGAGGAAGGTGGAAAGTTACTACTCTAACATTCGCAAGCAGCTGTTCCAATACGACAGAGGATCTGGTGTGGTGCGGTACGGTGGTGTGCGGTGACTTAATGGCTTTGACATCCTGGTTTCGCTCTGTGCTCTTCCGATCACCACCAGGTGCTGAACAGCCAGAGGGAGCCGTTCTACTCAGAGAGGAGGAAAGTGCTGGAGACCGAGGATGCGATGTGGTGTGGTACGGTGGTGTGTGGTACGGTGGTGTGTGGTACGGTGGTGTGTGGTGACGGTTGTGAATGCTCTTTCTCCATCTTGTCGGTTGTACTCTGTGCTCTTCCAACCCCAACCCCACCAGGTGCTGAACAGCCAGAGGGAGCGGTTCTACTCGGAGAGGAGGAGAGCGCTGGAGACAGAGGACCTAGAGGGGTGTGGCACTACGGTCGTGTGCGGTGATGAGTGTCAAAGCACAGTTGTGCCAGGCCTAACCTCAGTCCCTACCTGTGCTCTTCCATCCCCCACTCTCCAGGTGCTGAACAGCCAGAGGGAACGATTCTACTCGGAGAGGAGGAGAGCGCTGGAGACAGAGGACCTCGAGGGGCTGATGCTGGAGTATGCCGAGCTGACCATGGACGACATTGTCAATGTGAGAAGTGGTAGTGTGCGGCGCAATGTGGTCAGGTGTGGTGGAGTCAGGTTGGATGCGGTCAGGTACATCAGGTGCCAAGCCATCAGATTACACTGTGAAAGGACCTGGAGGGGCTGATGCTGGAGTATGCAGAGCTCACCATGGACGACATTGTCAATGTGAGGGGCGGTGGAGTGCGGTGCAATACAGTTAGGTGCAATGCGATCAGGTACTATCAGATGCCGCGACATTAGGTTACATATTGTGAAGCTCATCGCTACGCAGGGTCTCATTCTGGAGTGTGCACAGCTGACCATGGATGACATTGTCAATGTGAGTGGGGGTGGAGTGAGGTGCAATGCGGTCAGGTGCAATGTGGTCAGGTGCGATGCAGTCAGGTGTGATTTGGTCAGGTGACATGCCGTCGTGTGAAGCTCATCATTCCGAAGGAACATGTCAGAGCATGTCAGAGCATGTCAGAGCATGTCAGAACATGTCAGAGCATGTCAGAGCATGTCAGAGCATGTCAGAGCATGCTCTTTTCTCAGAGGAGGCTCATGCTCTTTTCTCAGAGGAGGAGCATGCTCCGCTCTCCTCCCCTTTCTCTTTTCCCCTGTTCTCACTTGTCTTCTCTCACAACTGTTCTCCTCTCCCCCTCCCTCAGGCAAACATCGACCCATCACTATCACAGGAAGAGTGGAACTTTGAGGCTCTCACAAAGAAGGTCAAACAGTAAGTGCTGCAGCCGTGAGCACTGCTGCAGCCGTGAGCACTTCTGCTTCTTCTTCTTCTTTTTGCTTTTTACCAGCACTGGGTTATTCATAGTCTTATCATCTATCGCGATTCTCTCTTGAATGTACCCTCGCTCCTCTCCTTCAACTTCCTTCACTTCACTCGTCGTACCGACATTGCGCATTGCCACTGATCTATCAATAGACAAAGTGATTCATATCTTTCTTCTGTCCAGGTATTGTGCACTGCTCACGGACCTATCAATAGACGACATCATCTATCACAGCGACACTGTAGACACTCTGAGGGAGTATCTACACCAACGCAGCAAAGAAGCCTATTACACAAAGAAGGTGCGCAGAAACTTTCACCTTGCTCTGACTTCTGAGAATCCTGTAAGCTGTACTCTCTAAGATCACTGATGTATCAGCTGAGGGATCACCCAGCTTCACCCATCTTCACCGCTCTTGGTTGTCCATCACCGTTCTCAACCCCTTCGTACCACACTCATACAGATAGCGCTGTTGTAAAGATCCCAGTACCTGCCGTCACTCAATTTGCAACACCTCAAAATCCTCGCAACCCCTCTCAACCCCTTTCTCAAGACTCAACCCTAACTCCCATCGACCTTCGTCGCTTTGCCCTTTCCTACAGGCGGAAGTAGAAGCGGCAGTGCCAGGGTTAATGAGGGATGCAGAGCGGTACTTTGTGCTGACTCAGATGGATCTGCTCTGGAAGGAACATTTGCAGGCGCTCAGATTCACTCAGCAGGCTGTGGCTTTAAGGGGATACGCTCAGCGAGACCCTCTTATCGAGTACAAGCTTGAAGGGTACAACCTGTTTCTTGCGATGATGGGGCAGATCCGGCGAAACGTTATTTATTCCGTGTATCAGGTGAGAACATGCGTAGACATCTAGATGTTTGTATCGAGTACAAGCTTGAAGGGTATAACCTCTTTTTCCATGGCTCCCGGCCCTTGCATCCCCATGATTCTGCATTTTGATCCGTCGGTTTTGACAACCCTGTGAATTTGTGCTCTTGTAATGGTGTGTGTTCTTGTAATGTTCTTGTAATGGTGTCTGTTCTTGTAATGGTGTGTGTTTTTGTAATGGTGTGTGTTCTTGTAATGATCTGTTATAGTTCAATCCAGTCACAGTGAGTCAACCTGAGGGAGCACAACCGTCCAAGACTAGCTGAAAGAATGAAAATGTCGAGATATGCTCGCTTCGTTTGTGGTATAGTTGGGAGCATCACTTCGTTTGTGGTATGAAGGGATTTTGGAGGCACACAGTCCGCCCTTAGAAGTTGCAAGAGCATCACTTGTTGGGCGTTTGACTTCCCTCGCCGCCGTCGTTGCGAATCCATGAATTTTGTTGCGGAGTTTTGCAGCAGCTGTTGACCGGTGTTGAGAGAGGTAATCGACTGGGAGAATGTGAGCACCCCTTGCCTGAAACATTATTCACATGGTTACTGGAGTTGAGCTGTACATAAAGTTCTGTGCCACTGAATAAGGGCGCATTCCTGTGTCGACATTTGTGTCTCAAAGCGTTTGTGACGCGTAAAAACGACATAGAACGTACAATGTCTCAAACGCGAATCGCTTTTTAGCGACCATTACTGTATTTCTTATTGGTCAGCGTGAAACGCGCTGACGTCGCCGACAAATTGTAAACCGACCCGTCATTTTAAAAAAATCGCATGCGGTTCGAAATGTCAATGCACCTGGTCTGCCCGAAATGCCAATTTCGCGCGGGAAAGAATCCCGCGCGTCGAAACCACACCCCAGCCAAGCGATTGAAGAAACGGGTGTACAGTAATATTTATCACCCAATCAAATGCGCCCAACTGTGCATTTCGCATGGTCGCCTAGTTTCGGGATACATAGATTTTTTGTGACGCGAGATTGACATTTTTCGACGCGACTCGGGAAAACGTGGATTGAGACATAGATGTCCACACAGGAATGCGCCCTAATACTATTGAGATGAAAACGGGCCTAGGTAAACCCAGTCAACAAGTAATGCATTTTTTTCCCATCAGTCTGTTCACTAAGTGGTGTGAGCTTTCAGTTCAGGTACCATAGACATACAATACCATTCCCAGTCGGGTCATGCCACAACCCCCGCTTGAACGAGACGAGCAGAGCTAGATAAGCATTCCTGTTTACAATCCAAGAAAGGCTACCAGCGATTGCGAAACAGCGTGAAGCGCGTTTTTTAAGGACCAACTGGTTGCCAGGCGCGGGAATTGCGGCTCATGTGGATTGATCTTGAGGAATAATGATAGGCGCCGCCTCGCGAAATGGCAAGCACAAGACACGATAGGCTTCTTCAAGGCGGCATAGTAGCTCTATCCGCCTCTTTATTATCGAGGTTCGTCACCATAACCTCTTGAAATAGTAACTACACTACACGTTAACAGCGGGGGTATAGCCTCCTGGTGGCGGGTACGCGGCTGCGGCAGGCGGGGCATTGGCGGCGTATTTTTCCTCCGCCCTCTTACGGTTGCGGCGCAGGATGAAGAAGACGAGGAGAGCAATCAGGCCTGTGAAGAGAGACACTCCGAGCCCCAGTACGATGCGCGGCCAGCATAAGTATTTGCAAGTCACTGCCGGAAAGGAAGTCGGAAGAGAAAGGGGAAAACAGGGGGATAGCGTATTAGTTGGATACAAATGAGGCGCATAAACTCGACGTGTGTTTTTCGATATATTCGAGTCCCGTCCGTCATAACAGCGCGCGAGGTAAGCGGCGTGTGTTGCTACAAGCAGTGGTGTCGCAAGTTGCACGAAAAGTGTTCGTGTAGAGTTACCCTGTTTGACGTGTGATATGCCGTTGCGAAAAATCATCGCAGAACATCGTGACGGGAGGGGGACACGGACTTACGAAGTGTTGAGCCTCCAGCATCATAGACGCAGAGGATCGGTTTTATGTCTGGAGCCTCGCACTGGGAGATAAACGGGAGATAGTAGAAGTGCGCAGAAGAATAGGGGAATATGAGGAAAACGAACCAAGGAGAGAAATGCATGAACAGCTGCCGATCTACGATGAATGGTGAGCTATCGACGGGTGTAGCAGCACACATTGTGATGGTGATTTCGTGGTAGTTGACACTGACTCCATCCAAAATACCTGGCATTGTTTAAGGCAGCTGATATCATTCAACTTGCAGTAACCGCAGGAGCTGCCACCATATGCAACGTCGAAAAGCAGAACGGCGAGGAAGGCCGAGAGCAGAAAGCGGCGAGCCGAATTTCCACCAGAGAATGCCATCGCAGGCAGACAAACGACTTGACGAAGTGATGGAGTAGAGGATGATAGGTTGTGCTACTGAATGCTCGCAGCTATTGAGGGAAAGGTTGATTAGGGCTATCTGATCAAGATGACATGAAAGCATTGCTTTATATCCTCGCTGCATTTTCATGTTGAGCTAGGCAAGCACTGGCTTCTGTCGTTCGAGCCGTCTGGCCTACGCCACGCGCTTCAATAATCGTGCCGTGTTGGGCAGACGACGGAATGTCACCACAGCGGGCCTGGCGTGGTTGCCACCTCAGAGTTGCTCTGGGGAAATTACGGATGTGGCAGGTGGTTTCGGGGTTATCCGAACGGTTGTTTCTGGTATAGAGTGGTTTTTCTGCTCAACGCCAAGGCGAAGTCCAAATATGGCTCCTGGTATCAAATTGACAGAGTTGTTTTCACGGAACCCTACTCAACCAGTCGGAAACGTAAAAGACAAACGTGTCACGCTTTATGAACCTTACGAAACCGTTATGAACGAGGTGCGTGCTTTTGCACCAACGTCTGTTGCTCCAAACCTGGAGTTCGTGGGTTGCACAACCAATAATTCTGGCCTCTGGGAAGCGCGCGCATCCGACGGTGACTTGCGTTGACTGCCGCAAAAGCCTTCATAACTGTTTCAAACGCGTACGATGATACATGCTCCACACACTTCCACAAAACACTAGAGATAATTGTTTCAAACGTGTAAATGGCATGGTATGTGCTCCACACACTTCCACCAACACTATGAGATGTTGTCAACTAAGATAAGTGACAGCTACTCTTGTCAAGTGTCTACGGAATAGGATAAAAATGTTATTTAGTTTTTCATGCATCTTTTTATATATGTATACACATATATATATATGCGTGTATATGTGTGTGCTAACGCTAAGATGGTGAAGTTGGTAAGCAGGCAAACAGAGGAAACACCCAAGTCGTATGTAAGAGATTTTCCTGAATTCCTTATCGAGGTTGACTGCTTCGCGTACAACCCGATTTTCGGACTTCGCACGTTCGGCCGATTTCAACGCTGCCGAGGCTCATCACGTCACCTTCGGCATTTCCCATCGCCAAACCTGCACCCAACCTCGCTCGTCCGAGGTTCCCTCCTAGCTAGGCTAGCCCTACATTAGTCTGTGCATTCATTATATTCCTAGTTCATTCGGTCACAGCCTCGTTATTCGTTTACCTGCGCACTCTCTTTTACAACTCATAACACCCTGTATCAGAGCTACTTTCCTAGTTCACCCCGCTTTTCGAGGGTAGTTTGGTGGCACGGGTGTGGCTGGTTTAGTGACTACACGACGGTTGGCTGCAGGGATTGTTAATTCAATCCTGCCCGACTCCGATAGTTCGTGTTTTCACTTACTGGAAGGCCACGGGTACCCGACTGCCCACCAGACGTAGTGCTAGGCACATGGATCAGGAGGCTGTTAACAAGTTGATGGTGCAAGTGGAAGAAATGCAGGAGGGCATGAAGTCATTAATGGCGGAAGTGACAACATTGCGGGAGGAAAACGCCGAGCTACGCCAGACGCGAGGTGAAGCGCGTCAGGAGTCGCCCGTCGACGAAGGCGAGGGCAATTGTCAGGCGATGAGCAATCCGCTGGATGCGCTCACACGTGACTTCGAAGAAGAAGACAGGCAGCGAGCGGCAGCAGCGCCAGTTGCAGTAACGACGATTAGGTCCTATAGCTGCAAACCCTTTGAAGAAAGCTTGCAGAAGTGGCTCACCCTCCTCCACGCCCTTTTTCCGGCACTGCATTGCCCTTTCACCCGGGCACGTGGGTCCTGCAAACGCTCCTCTAGGGGAGCCGAGCAGACAAGAGTGTGGGCCCAGGCCGCGCTCTCCAGCCTGTGGACCCAGAGTGTGGGCCCAGGCCTCGCACAGCCTCAACGACCGTACGCATCTCCCTCTCCGCCATGCCGTTCTGCTGCGGAGTGTACGGGCAGGTCAGGTCGTGGACGATTCCTTTGTTGTTGACGAACTTGGTGAAGTCCTTCCCCAGGAACTCGCCTCCGCGGTCGGAGCGGAGCATCATCACCGACTTCTTGGTTTGCCTCTCCACGACCAGCAGCCACTGCTCGAACACGTGCAGGACGTCGCTCTTCTTGGCGACCGGCCTCACCCACACGTAGCGAGTCTTTCGATCCTTCAGCAAGAGGAAGTAGTAGCTGCCATCCTTGGCGGCCACTCGGAACGGTCCGCACAGGTCAATGTGCACGACAGCCAGTGCCTCCTCCGTCTCCGAACCTTTGTCGGGGAAGGTGTGTCGTGCAAGTTTGCCACCTACGCAGGAGACGCACGGCAAATCGGTCCCCGTGGAAGGCGTGATGTCCAGGCCAGTGGCAACATTGTGCTTTGCCGAGCTCTTGATGGTGTCGACGCCAACGTGCGCAAGCCTCGAGTGCCACCTGGGCGGCGTCGACTTCGTCGCCGATGTAATCGTCCGCAGAGCCACCACCTCGGTCGACTTCAATGACAGCTTCGTCGAGAAGGGTTGAAGGTCGGTGCAGAGGACACGACCGGTATAGCGTGCTCGACCAAGCACCTCCCCGGTCGCGTTGACGAGCATCGTCTCGTCGCCGTCGTCCTGCAGCAGCACACCATTCTCCTTCAGCTGACCGACACCACCGTCGGCAGCCCTGAGCACTCCTATCTGCCTTGTGCCCTCGTTGCCATTGACTCGAGCACCGCCGTCGACGACCTCGTCGTCGCCTCCTTCGTTGCGTGCCTGTCGAGGAGATGCAGGACGGGAAGGGTGCTCCGTCGCCCACTGCGCCCGGATGCCCAACTCGACGATCTCCAAGGGGATCGTCCCGTACTCGCCAGCCTCGTGGCGTCTCCTCGCATCAGCTAATCGAGTCTCCCAGGTGTCCTCGACACCCGCTTCTACAACGGGGTCGACCATGGCGACTAACGCTGCTGCCGGCCTACGAACGACTTAGTAGGTGCAAAAGTCGGCTCCTATCTGAAGGTCGCGTGTTCGTTCCACGCTCACCGCACCATGAGGAGATTAACTCTACAACCGTGGGAGCTAGACTATGGGGTGGGCACTGGTTGTAGGAGTGATCATAGCTCTGTCTGTGTTCTCTAGGACTTGTGTTTTCACAAGGCAAAACAACAAGAGTTTTACGAAGGAAAGTTGAGAACAAAAAGTTCAGAATGAGCATGCGATGGCAAAGGTTCACTACATCCGATGCAAGGCTTGCTAGCACTCAGGCAGGTCGATCGCCAGCACGACAAAGTTGACGACCTGCCAACGCAGCATCTCCACGGCCCGCCAACGCAGCTGGTGTGCGACTTGCCAACGCTGCAGAATGGCGGCCTGCCAACGCTGCACCCGCGCGGCTTGCCAACGCAGCATCCGCGCGGCTTGCCAACACTGCATCCGCAGGTGATTATAAGCGCATGTGCAAGCACCTACTTCGCAGGTGCTTGTAGACAGTTATGCACGACGTGCAGTGTCAAATACATTACGCAGGTTGTTTGCCACATGCTGACTGTTGCACCTGATGAGCCACGTCGACCACGTGCTGCCACGTCGGTCGACTTTGCCACAACAGCCTCGACGACGTTCGCACACCTTCGTGCACTTCGTCGAACAGGTAACTCGGTCAACCAGGTGAAGTCCCTGGCACCTCTGCAGGATGACGACCTTCGTCGTCACGGGTCGACGACCTTCGTCGTCGGGGTTCGACGACCTTCGTCGAACATCTTCGTCGGACACCTCGGTCGAGACATGCTGATTGGTCGAAATTAAGGCACATTCGAATTTCTGGCCAAAATGCACCTGTGCAGTCTCAATGTTGCGCAGGGTGAAACGGGACCCTGCGCAAACAGACATCCGCGAACTTCTGCACCAGTTGCACAACTTGTACATGCGCACGGGAAGACTGTGTTGCACTCGCGGATGCTTCAATTACTCTTGCACGGATTCCCTAGTACACATGGTGTACAGGTAACCCTCGTACACCTGGAGAAGGTCGGCTGCACCTCCCGCACACCCGACCACAAGTCAATTTGCCCATGCGAGGGCGGGGCCAATTTCCTTCAACAGGGGATGCCAGCTGGGCCGTCCGGCAACGACGCTGTTCTCGTCGTCGTCGATCGCTTCACGAAAATGGCGCACTTCGCCCCATGTCGAACAACAACCACAGCCGAAGAATCTGCGCGCCTTTTCATCTCAACGGTCGTGCGACTGCACGGCATCCCTTCGGCGATCATCAGCGACCGAGACCCGAAGTTTTCGTCGAAATTCTGGAAGGAGACGTGGGCGCAGTACGGCACGAAGCTACAGTTCTCATCGGCATACCACCCACAGACGGACGGACAAACCGAGCGAACCAATCAGACCATGGAGCAGCTGATACGGACAAACTGCCCCGACCCTGCCTGCTGGGAAGATTCTCGCGCCATGTTGGAGTTCGCCTTCAACAACGCACCGTCGAGCACGACTAATCACTCCCAATTTTTCCTGAATTACGGGATGGATCCGACGGTGCCCACGGCAACTACACTCGACAACCCCGCCCCACGGTCACAAACCTTTGTGACGGAACTTGAGAGCATCCGCGAAAAAGCCGCAGACGCAATTCGCAAGGCGAATATTACTTCCCGCAAATACACCGACCTTCTTCGGCGGGAACTCGTCTTGACCACTGGGCAACTAGTGCTACTCGACACAAAAAACATGAACCTACCCGGCCCGTCCAAACTACGGCCCCGATTTTGCGGACCGTTCAAGATTATCAAGATGATGACATCTGTCACCGCGAAGCTGTTGCTACCCGACGACTGGCGAATTCACGACGCCTTCCACGTCAGCCTTCTTCGCAAGTTCGTGCCGGCCACGACCGACATCGCACGACAGCAAGCTGCCCCGATAGCATGACCTATACCGGAGCCGACTCTTGACCCTTCAAAGATCCTCGCTCATCGGGTCCGCATTGACGCAGCTGGCCGACACGTGGATTTCTTAATCCGCTGGACTGATCGCACCAGTGAGGACGACACGTGGGTGCCATCCGCCTCGCTCGACGCCTCGCCACTTGTTGGTGATTACTTGGCGCGCAAGCGTGTTTCGGATATTGACCGCCTTTCTTAAGGGGGGGGGGGGGGGGGGGTGGTGTAAGGAAATTTCCTTAATTCCTTATCGGGGTTGACTGCTTCACTTACAACCCGGTTTTCGGACTTCGCACGTTCGGCCGATTTCAACGCTGCCGAGGCTCCTCGCGTCGCCTTCGGCATTTCCCATCGCCAAACCTGCACCCAACCTCGCTCGTAGGAGGTTCCCTCCTAGCTAGGCTAGCCCTACATTAGTCTGTGCATTCATTGGCGTTGTTCTGCAGGCACCCGATGCCGTCGGAAGAATGTGCGGCGATGCTGCAAAAAGCGTTGACATTTTGGGGGGCAGCCCAAAAAATCGCGTCAAGCCTGACGATGCCGTATGAACCAAAATGGCATGGCATTGGCTGCAGAACATGACTTCGGGCGATGACTTCTGAAAGGTTCGAAGCCTCCCTGCATTTTCCCCCTCAGGCAAATTGTCGTGCCTGTGCCACCCCATGGCCAACCCCCCAAGAGAGGTGGTTGGCCACGCGATTGCAGAGGGATTGGCCCCCAATCAGCCCGTGAGAGAAACTGGGCGGAACATGCCAGTCTCGGGAACCTTGGGCCGAAATGCGAAATTTCTCCTTGGGGGGGGAGGTTAGGTCGACCCTGGAAATTTCATCGGAAAAAGCACTCGATGCTGCTGCCATGCCGATGCCACCTGCCTGCAGAACAACGCCATTGTATTCTCAGTTCATTCAGTCACAGCCTCGTTTACCTGCGCACTCTCTTTTACAACTCATAACACGTTCCCTAGCCAACACCCAGGCAAAGCCAGAGGGAACCAACCAATGTGTCGCGACTTACGAGGCCCCAGGTCGGCCATCTTTCTGCTAATCCGAGGCCCCAAACCCCAAAGCCAGTGCCCCCGGCCGAGTCGCGCCACACTTCACCATTGGTCCAGCCGAACACAAACCCAAAACTGCTTGTCATCCCGAACCAAGTTCCAGACCACCTCCTAGTAGGGCTGCGAATCATGCTACTCTCGGCGAGCCGGATGACGAGATTCGCGAAAGCTGTCGAACGTTGATACACACCGTATGTCGAATTGGCGAAATGGCCTCCCCCACGAAACCTTTTTTCGTATTTACAAGATAACCACGCCTCATCTCCCCCTCCCCCCCTGCATAGTTGAGTTCCCCATACCCATACCAACTTCATCTCACTCCTGTTGGCAGAGTTTCCACCGTACATATTAGGGTTCTGAATTAGTTCCCTAACTTTTCGTCATCCTTGTTTCGGCTGAGCGATCCCGTGGCGGCAGAGTTGGGGAATGAGCAGTTTAGTGGTTACAGTATGTTAACTTCGACGTCAGTGACTGCGTTGGGAAAAGGCGGCATTATGTGGAAAGAGGTCTTCATAGTGTGCGCTTTCACCTTCCTCGCCGTCGTTATTCTCGAAAATCGCTCCGTGCAAGGTATTTTACAGAAGCTACCAGACACCTACATAATGGCGTCTGAGAAACTCTCGGTTTACTACTCTTATGCTTTAGGAAAGGAGGCGGCACCAGATTTGTCGAGCATTTTCCGAGTCAGCTGAAGCCAATCAGAGAGTCGCGACAGGGGGCTAATCATCCCCTCTCCTCTCTGCCTTTACCCTCCTCCCCACATTCCCCCCTTCCTCCCTCCCTGCTTTCCCGTTTGTGTTGACAAACAGTTACAATATCCCCGCAAGCTGATTCCATAAGCGTACATCGAAAAACGTTTCTAATGGGATCCAATTCCCTCCTCCTGCCAGACACTGTTAAGGCCTCGAACTTAAATCCTACAAACTCCTCTGACTCAACCGATACAGTACTAACTGGCAATGATCCCGTGCAAAATGCATCTGTAGTTAGCGTACCAATGTCACCCAAACCGACCGTCCGTCCATCTCGCTTTCACATAGACAACTTCGGTTTTCCCGGACCTGTGCCGTGGGACTGGATCCGGCCGTCGATTCGCGTCCTCTACACAATGAACGGCCAGATTGCAGTGCAGCCGCTTTTTTTCAACACCGACGCTCCAGATTCCGGCGCGGTTCCACCTGTGTGGACAGACGAGGAAATCAACAGCATGCTCCGAGTGGCCCGCTCGCGAAATTTGTCATCCGGGCATCTGAGTGGTTATGACGATTCGTCATCATTGTTTTTTTTCGAGGCGTTTGATCGCTATCCAATTAGAGGAAAAAGTGTACTCATTATTGGGAGCCAGACCCCATGGGTGGAGGCGATCTGCATTGCAGCTGATGCAGGGTCGATCACGACCGTTGATTTCAACCCTCCGGTGGTGTCACACCCTAGGATCAAGTCGATCTCCATCGAGCAATTAGATGCGATGGATGACGTGTTTGACGTCATCGTTTCGTTTTCTTCGATTGAGCACGATGGATTGGGGAGATACGGCGATCCCATGAATCCCACGGGCGACCTACAACGGATGAAAAAGGTGCGTGTAAATGTATACGCTTGGGATGTCACAGAGAATGGTTGAAATGGCTTGTCTGTAAAGTAGTTTGTCCATAGTCATTGTCCCTCTTACTCCCTGGTAGCTGCCATGGGTGTTGTGTACTGCATGAGAGAGGGCTTTCGTCTAGTGTGTCAGGTCAGGTGCCTGCCCGTGTATCTACCAGTAGATATCTTCCTTTGTACCCTTTTCATAACCCATTTCTGCATTTCCCCTTCTTGCCCTGCTTCCAGATCCAGGGCCTGGTTAAACCAGAAGGGCTTTTTTACTTGGGAGTGCCTGTTGGTAATGACACAATTGCGTTTAATGCACACAGGATATATGGCCCACTGCGCATGCCGAAGCTCATAGAGGGTTGGAAGCACCTGGACACTATAGGGGGGAAGCTGGAGGACTTCTACACACAGTATCAGAATGGGCTATTTATACAACCAATCCTCATCTTGCACTATGTACCTTGAATGACTTGCAGTTTGCAAATATCAACTGTTTTATGATACGATTGACAAGGATCACTAGCAGCTACTACTCCATCCATCTGTTACTGCAACGAGCATGGTCATCTGGTTTCATAAGTGAGCAGCTCTTGTGAAAACATTGCTGATGGCTCAAGGTGAGATGGGGCAGCATGTTTGTAGGGAGCAAATTCATCTGAACACTATGCACAGATATTCAAAATCCAAGCCCTATGGGCATATGAAAGAATCAATGTAGATGACAGAGCAGATATCGTTTCCAGCACATGTCAAGCCGAAACCTTAGTAGATCCCTGGAATCACCTTGTAAGGTACCAACTTGCAGTACTTGTCCCAGAACTTGCCATACCTGAAAGAATGAAGGAAGCATGGAGTGAGGGTGGAGCATGGGGAGGTCGGGGAACATGGATATATGAGTGAGAAGGTACATCCTAAAAGGTCAGCAAAATTCCTTTCTGCCTGCGAAGTAGCGGTTGGCATCATGTGTCTCACACACAATCACCACAGCTCACTATGGCAAGGAATCTCACGTCTCACAACACAATGGCAAACTCGCATGTTTTGCCACCACCTCCCACGCTCACATATCTCACCACTCAATTGCAAGCTCACAAGCTCCCCCACAAAACGCCCACACGACTTGCAACTTGATGGGCAAACTCACTTCTTCTTGCAGCGCACGTCATCACGGACAGCTCGGTCCAATAGGAGGAGTGTGAGGTAGATGCAGTAGAAATACTGAATGCCCTGTTGTAGTGTAGCACAGGGCAGGAAATGAGGCAGACGCACATCAGAACACGTTGCAGGAAAGGGAAGATCCAAAAGCGAAGCATGGGAAAGCAGAACAAGGGACAGGAAAGGTATACAGCAGAACATGGGACACAGCAAGGGCAGTGAGCTTGGTGGTAAACATGGAACTGTACAGTGTGTGTGGGGAAGCGCCTTACATTGTTGAAGAGAGCTGGAAAGGTCCAGAAGAAGGAAGCCAGGATTTCCGGCACATAGTGGAAGTGGCGAGAGAGGCCCCACCTGTAGCACGGGCAAAACCAGACACACATCAGCAAATTTCAAAAGGGTTCTGAGTGAGAAAAAGGGAATCAACGGGATCATGCTACGGAGAACTATATGTACGGAAGCAGCCGTTTTAATATTTCGGGAGAGCCATATGGAGTGGAAAGAATGGACTATGGATAGAGAGGGTATCTTGGGTCGTACCATCCTGACGCAAGCAGCAGGCTCTTCTTGTGCTCGCCCTTCTCTGTTACGTACTCTGCTTCAATCTGCCACACACATGCGAGCAGCACAACAAGACGAGTGAGAAATCATTCTAAGAAGCCGCAGCGCAGAGCACGGGCTTCTTGTTTTTATGCGCAATTTTTCCTTTCCTCTCTGCAGCTCAATACAGACAAAAAAAAAATGGCAGAGAAGGGCGCACCTTGGCAGGAGGGCGACCCCAAATGGTGCAGCGGCCGTGTGTGGATCTGAAGTGCTGCCGTTGGCGATCCGAGTCATAATTGATTGCAATGCACGCACAGCCACACAGAAACATGGCCAGCGAGACCTGCGGAGGGGAAGGAGGGGGGGAGAGAGAGGAGAACGCAGATATGAGCTAACTAAGCGAGAATGCGAGTAGAATACACAAATTGCCATGCAAGAAAGGAGGGCAGACTGGAAATAATATGTATGGGAATGGTTAGAGAACCAAGAGGCAAGCAGGGAGGCAAGCAGGGACGGGGAGAGGCAAGCAGGAAGGGGGAGAGGCAGGCAGGCCAGCAGGCAGGCAGACAAGAAGGAAACCTTGGTCCTCACAGGGGTGCCGAGGTGCAGGGGGTGGTTGACGAGGTAGAGGGCGGGAGAGGTGTAGATGCAGGGCACCCACACCATGCAGCCCCAGCAGAGGTAGTAGCCAGCTGGTGGGAGCAGCAGGGAAGGGGAGAAACGGGTAGGGAAAGGGAGCAGGGTGTGATGGAGGTGAGAGGTGAAGAGGGTCAGAGAGAAAAGTATTCCAGACGGGGTTAATTTGGTGGATGGGAGACCAAGGGGGGAACATAACAGGGTTCAGGCACAACGGGCTGATATCTCTGTAAGAAATATTTGGCAAACAGTTCCAGGGAGTTAAGAGGGTCCGCATCCTTGACATTGTTACTAGTTCCAACAGAAGTGACAGACAAGCACTGCTGCCACAATAGCACAGGATAATTGGCTCACCGCGGTCGTGCTGGATGTCCATGGTGCTCCAGTATCCCGAATCCCAGTAGAAGAAATTGGAGATGGAGGCACCAGCACGACACTTTAGATGGCTAAGTCTCGAGGGAAACAAACAAGTACTGCTGCCTCATCATCAGTACAAAACAAACAAGCTCACCGCGGTCGTGCTGGATGTCCATAGTGCTCCAGTAGCCCGACTCCCAGTAGAAGAACTTGGAGATGTACACGAGCATGAGCGCCACGCTCACTACCATGGAATCCGCTACGTGGCCGTTCGCCTCCACCTGCTTGATGGCGTACGTGACGGCCAGCAGCGCCCACGACATCATGCCAAAGCGGCAGTTGGTGAAGGTCTTGATGTCAAAGTACTTGCCAATGCGCGGGTACAGCTCCATGCCCTGAGAATTGGAGCCAAATAATAAAAAGAGAGGCATAGAATTACAGTGTTGATGTTAAGATAGCACGTACAGTCATCACGAGGTGGCAAAAGAAGCGACAGAAGAAACGGAGCAGGCACACGAGAGAGGACGCTCACCCAGAAGAAGTCCTGAATAAAGTTTCCAGAAGACCCCCAGTCGGAGGACGACGGAGCAAGGTGACCCTGCACATGTCAGTCACAGAGAAAGGAGCGCCATTTGAGTTGCATGGCTGGCCACTTGAATGTATTGAAGTAGAAAGATATGGGAGAGGGAGAGCATACCTTGGCGTAGAGAAAGAGGCAGAGGAGTAGGCTGGCGACGTTGAGAGCGGAGAGGATACTGCCGAAGTTATCGTACACGAGGGATGGGTTGAACCACCCGGCTCTGGTAAGAGGGGGGAGGGAATGAAATGAGCTTCGCCAGTCAATCCATGCAGGAGAATTTGCTGTGTGGGAGCTTTTTACGGCCTGAAGAATTTGCTGCATGTGAGATCCCCAAGGGAATTGCGAAGATTCGAAACAACATGCAAAGAATACGAAGAGACGCAGCATGTCACGACTTGTAAACTGTGAGGTGGTGGGTCCAGCAAGCAAGGGTGCAGCAGGCTCTACCTCCAGATGAAGACGTATGTGACAATGGAGACCATGTATGCTTGAAATCCGTTACACTGCAAGGCATATGAGAATTGGGAAGGTGTTTTGCTTAAAACCCAGGGTCCACAGGTTTCATAGGTAGGAAGGTTGGTTGGACTTTGTGACAAAACCTAAGGTAGGAAGCTTGGTTGGACCTTGTAACCCAACCAAAGGTAGGAAGGATGAGGCAACTTCGGGAAACTTGAGACCCCGGTTTTAAGAGAATGATCATCTATCGTATTGTAGTGCATCCAGAATGCGAAGGAGGCGGATGATTCCGAAACGGCGGTAGCGGTTGGTGACGCAGAATTGGGAACAATGGAAGAGCGGGAAAGGGGAGCTTCGTTCATTTGATTGAATCTTACCCAATAGATTGGTCGGTTACCAGCTGGTGAAACGGGTCCAACAAATTCCTTTCCAGGCAAGAGAACCTGCCGACGTGAGGGAATGAAAAACACTTAGGTAAATCCCTCTAAAGTGATCTTATCTGATCAGGAGACCTCAAAATTCAGAATGTTAATTTACTTTTGACAGTAGCTACCTAACAACGCACCTGAAGAATCGCTTCGAAAGCAGCGAATGCGCCAATGATCTTCCATGCAATGGGGGAAAACGGCGACGGCCAGGCCTCCAGGAGTCCATCCATCATGGATTCCTTGCTTTGCAAAAATTGCCAGAATTTAAAAATTGACCCGTCCGTTTTGGCCATAATGAACCACCTGCACCTCGAAGCGAGTAACATATAGCAAATGAGTAAGATTTTCTGTTATCACTGATCGACTTCATTATTAGACGTGCCTCTGGCACTCCAGTGTGGGATTTTCATAGTACACGTTGTCTTACATGTAGATGGCGATCGGAGGAGTCAGAACGAGCATGGCCATCATGCTAATTAGGGTCATGGCCTTCCCATGGACGTGCTCTGCCTTGGAATAAGCTGATGGTAGATGCTTCAATGGTCGATGTGACTTTAACGACTTCTCAAGATGCGCGACCTTGAAAATGTTCTCCTTAAGATCCGGATCCAGCAACAGCTTCGAGACGCGAGACGCAATCATGGTAATTGGCATTGTAGACGACGCCTCAACGTCACCGAAGGAAAAACGAAACGAGGAAAAGGAGACCGAGGGGAATAGCGGTTCTCAGATGGATCCAGCAATTCAGGCTCAAATTTAACAGACAGATAATAATAGCGGATCCCAGATGGATCTAGCAAATCAAGCTCGAGCTCAACCAACTGAAATAACTCCACACACTCTGTTGATGCACTTCTGATCACTCCATGATTTTCATAGGTAGTCTGATTTCCTGGAAAGGCTGGGTGGGGTGAATTTGGACTGTGAATCAGGCGACGGACTGAACCAGAATATAACCTCCCTCTGGTCGACAGAGTGTTCGATTAGGTTGGTTGAGACGGATGCGTTACGTCCGAGAGCTCAGCCGTCGATTTATGAAATCGGAGGGAATCAGCGATGTGGCCGCATCGATCAGCTTGTCGTGGTCATTTCACGTGCACTTGAATCGATCGAAAATCTGGACCGTCTCCTGAAAATATCACCCACTATGAAGCCGACATAATGAATGCCGTTGATCTTTCAAATCATGTCGATCATGCCATGTGCTAAGTATCCTACTTGTGCCACGTCAGACACCTATCTCTTCTCAACCAATCCTGGCAGAAAGTGCTATGACCATCGGGGAGCATATGGACCCTCCAACTTGTGATTGGTGAAGCTAGCGGTGATTGGTCCAATTGTCGGTAAACAAGGCGGAAGTTGGTTTCCGCCAGCTCGGACCCAACACGGCAGAACTTGGTTCACTTGCTTTGTTGCCCACGGGCAGCGCAGCGGGACGGGTCGCAGGGTCTGCTGCTGCTTGGATGTATCAATCCGCTGGATCACCTCACGGCGGAAGTTGTTCATGGCAAAACTGGCTCACATCACCACCAGTCAGTTTCAGGGATACGAGCCGCGATACAATTTGACAGTGTCGTGTGACAGTTCCACATGACTGCCCAGTGGAACCTTGTTTCAGATAAGGTCGGTGAGCAGTTCAGCAAACGGCTCGGAAGTTCAATCGGGTCAGAAGAGTTCAGCTGGGGGTTCATGCTGGTGGGAGTATGGCTCAACCATCAAAACAGCCCGAAGATCCAACATCGGGCAGAAACCGACGAGGTTTACCTGCCCGCGAACGTGCGGGAAAAGGACAGATACCGACCAATCAAAACGTGCGAAACGGGAATCCGGCATGGTGGTGATTGATGGTGTCAGGCCCAGCCATTGGACGGGAAGAACACCCTACGGCATCCATCCTTACCTAAGGCACAAATCGCCATAAATCCACCTCGATATCTACTTCTTTCTTCTTATGAAATTTGTACATGGCAGGTAAATTGTACCTAACCTGCACAACAAAGCAGGGTGGTGGTATGAGAACAGGATCTTAATATCTACCCACCCATGAACAAATGCACAGTCTTGCTGCATATAGTGCACGAACCTGATACAATACTTCAGCACTCTTTGCTCCAAAATCTCGAAGTGCAGCCCGTTGCACATGCTGGTGTACACGTTAAAAAGGAGTAATTGTAGTGCATGATATGCAAAGTTGCATGTGGAAACTACTTTTGTAGAAGCTGGGATGGAAAGATACAACCAAAATAGCAGAAGAAGCTGATGCAATAAAAACATTCAGAAAAAGAAATGTAATGAACTACAATAGAAGACCGCAAAACGAAACGCTTGTGAGGATAGGCGAGGTGAGGGTATTGGATGAAGTACAAAATTAGGGTAATGAAAAAAAGGAGAGCAAATGGGGATAAGGAAAGTGAAGGGGAGAGAGTATACCTCTCGGGTGGATGATTTGTGAAGCGAGTAAACAGCTACTGACGCAGCCTGACGGAGCACAGGAGGCCGAGGGGCACAAGGGGACGAGGGGCTTAAGAGGGCAATGGAGCGAGGACAAGAAGGACACACGTGGAAAGAAACACGTAAAGGCAGTCCCCACAGCACACTATTCACGCTGTCCGAGACTTTCCGAAGAAGCCACTTTCAAAAGGAGCCAGCCATCATTGTCTAAAAGCCGTTACACAGAAGCCATGCCAGAATTCTTTTAATAAAGTATCTCATCCTGAATATTTTCCAGAATGGATCTGGTATAAGCCATCCCAGAAGCCTCCTGATAAATGTTGCCTTTTGAGAATTCTCAACACACAGGTAGATCCAGGGCCTCACCTTGTGTCCTGCCGCCTCATCGCCTTTGATTGTCGAGCATAAGGGCAGTTTGAGACTCTGTCAAGGAACAAAACACTCCATGTCACTTAAGCTTAACACACAGGTAGACCCCGTGCCTCACCTTGAGCCCTGCTGCCAAGAATAGCATGTCGGCACCTTTAGTTCTCGTGCCAAACGGAGGGTTCATCACCACCACCTCAACTGAGCCGCCTGCAGGGAGGGAGTAAGAATTGTAGTCAACTTATGAGGCGCATCATAGAGAAAGCTTCGCGTGCCAACGGGAGGGTTCATCACCACCACTGAGCCGCCTGCAGGGAGCAAGCAAGAGCAGGAGCCACGAGGCAAAAGTCAACTTATCAGAAGTCAACTTATGAGGTACTTAGCCGAAGAAGCTTCTCAAGAGAAACGAGACAACTTCTGAAGTGCCTTAAAACGTTCGTGCCAAAGTGAGGGTTCATCACCACAACCTCAACCGAGCCACCTGCAGGGAGCAAGCAAGAGCAGGAGTCTATACATCTGAGTGGACTCAAAATGAGATAGGACTTTCGAATCGACTCACGAGTCATCTCGTGCCAAAGGGAGGGTTCATCACCACCATCTCAACTGAGTCACCTGCAGGGCGCAAGCAAGGCAGGAGTCTGATTATGAGGCACCCAACTGAAGGAAGAAGCTTCTGGTGACAAAGAAGGGGTTCATCATTCACTGAGTCACATGTGTTTCAGGGGCAAAAATGCAGGGCATATAAATATATTGCAGGTAGTGAGAAATAAGGGCAAACAGGAGGAAGAGTAGGGAGGTCAAGGAGGGAGAGAGGAAGAGACTTAACTAGTGAGAGACAAGTGGGGAAGTTTTGCCTGAATGAAATCCATGTCAATCTGCGTATTCACAGAGACACAAACAAACAAACAAACACAGACACAGAGAAACGCATAACACCAAATAAGCCCCCCTGGAACTCTTTTTGAGGCGCCCCAAGAAAAGTTCCGTACGAATGAAGTCTATGTCAATCAGCTTATAAACAAGGATACACAAAAACACACACAGACATACACGGTACCACACTGCACCTAATTCACAAAGTAACGAAACAATATATGATAACATGGCTGGTCCTAGGCTCACAGTGAACCTCCTTCTCCCAGGCATTCATCATGACAAGCTCAATCAATTGTTGAGGAGGCTTCCATTGGAAGCCCTTCCCACTGCCATGCTACATTCCTGCAGGGAGTTCGTGTGTGTGTGTGTGTGTGTGTGTGTGTGGGTGTGTGTGTGTGTGTGTGTGTGTTGTTGTTGTTGATTTTTTTTTTTTTGGGAGTCTACAGATACGTTCTTACAGGGAGTCTAATATTGAGGTGCCCAACATTTATATGCAAAGAGCAGTTACAAATGACTCACTTCGTACTCTTGACAGTTGGCCTGTGCTGTGGCAATGGCTGTCTCATCCGCATCCACTCCCACCACATACCTGCACGCAGGCACACATAAAAGCAAGCATGCAAACATCACATCACACAGAGCCACACAACTTCATGAATGGAAACATGGAGAATGCATGAATGGAGGGTACACAAAACGGTTTATTTGGTGTGGCTAAGAGCTGCTGATTCTCTCTGCTTCTGAGTAGTCTAAAAGTGAGGCGATTTTATGCGGGTACAAGATGGTCTGGTGCGGTTCCGAGTGGTTGACTCACTCTGCTCCCAGCATGGCCGCGGCAATCCCTAGGGTGCCGCACCCACAGCCAAGGTCCAGCACTGTACGCCCCTCCACGTCATCAAAACGCGTGTGAATCTGAAAGGGATGGAGAAGACATGGGTCTGAGTGCAAGCATCAATGTGTGCGATACATCTTGTGTGGAAGGCATATCTCGGGTCATATACACACGTTTAGTGTGAGAGGAAGACAACTTATGAGAAGCATCACATAGTGTGGATTGAGCAGAGTATAGGCTAAAGGAGTCCAAGGTACAATCAGGCGTGAGCAATAGTACATGAATAACATGAAAGATGGCAGTGGCATGGAAAGAGTGCAGCAGCTGTCACCTCATAGAGCATCCAAGAGGCGATGTGAGGGCCTGTGGGGTACTGATTGACTTTCGAGTGGACTCAACATGACAAACGGTGATGGCATGTGGAAAGCGAGCAGCAGCTGTCACCTCATAGAGCATCCGTGAGGCGATGTGAGGACCCGTGGGGTACTGCTCCAACTCGATCTGATGGAGAGCGGTGGAGGGGGTTGGAGGGGGATGGATTGGGATGGAGAGGCGTGGAGGGGTTTGGAGGGGGGGAGGAAGGGATGTGCGAGGCTGTGGGGCAGCGGACTTGGTTTGATTGAACAATGCAGTGCATAAGGGGAGAGCAAGCGAGGATGAGCAGAGTTCTGAGGCACGTCAAAAATATCATGTCGGGTGTGGTAGCGATCCTGATTGGAATGAACATTTTATTGTTGTGTTTAACCCTCAGACACGAGGAAGCGACAATCCTGGCTCCTACGGTCACTCCGGGACGGGTGCAGAAACGACGCGATTTCGCCTTGGAGACTTCTCAAGAGTGACGCACGGACGGACATTCCGCAATCGGTAGAGAATTGACACGATCCGGATCAAAATCGCCGCAGGTAGCTAAAGCGATAACACGTACAACATTCACATTCTAGAACGCAACACAGGATCGCCACGGATTGGCTGGAACCTTGCTTGCGTATTCGAAGTGGCCTACCTTGGGATTGTCGAACTGCTGCACATCTCCTAGGAGCGACTCGAGCTGCTTCAGCTTCATCTTCCGAAGACGAATACTAGCCTATGATACTGAAGAGATACGATTCTGTATTATGCATGGACTATGGAACGCTAAGAAACTTCATAAGTCGTCTGTGGGACTCGAGTCGCGGGCTCACACTGATCATTGACGGACACAGGGAGCACATTCAGGTGACGGATACGCGTTACAGCTAATGCTGCATTTAGCACGGATAAGCGGAAACGTTGCAAGGCGTATAATCACAAAGATGACAGTTTTGATTGAGACAAGATAGCCTTCAGAAACTGAATATTTGTACATTGAAATGATTTTGTTGACCCCAAACTTTCTATGCACTTCACTATACTAGTAACTCGGGAAACCTTATCACACGTTTGGGACAACTAGCCTATCAGCCCCAGCCACGATACGAGCTGATTGGATCACATCGCCAGTCCGAAGCTGAGCCAGAACGTCCCTTCCTTTTGTCACATACCTGCATAAGCACACCACCAAACACAACAATTTTCAGATTGTGTCATTATGGAGAAGCATAAGCATATGTGGCGACCCTGGCAACAGGTTGACACAAAGTGATTAGCTTACCCGAAAACTGAGAATTGGCCCTCGTCAAATGCGAGCCCGCCCAAACCGGACTGCATTACACAACAGGAAAAACATGTGAATGGGAGGAGCGGATTAGAAAGGAGGCACACCAAATACTTGGCATCATCTGCTGTGAAGGAACAATGCTATCACAAAAGGCACAAGAACCCACCCGTCTCTTGTCGTATTTGTATAGGAAGAACTGTGAGGGATGGCTGAAGGAGTCACTCTCAGGAGAGTGGGCCATGACCATTGCTCCAAACACTGACATGGGCAGCACTGGAAGCTCGCCATCCTGTAAGGAAAAGATTAGAAGTGTCATATAGATGGGACAAAAGAAGTTGAATATATCTAGGGAGTCGCTCTCTGGCGAGTGGGCCATGACCATTGCACCGAGCACTGACATGGCATGGGCAGCACCGGAAGCTCCCCGTCCTGTAGGGGCAAGGAGAGGAGGCACAGCAGGAGTGTGGGGAACATGGAGAAGAGAAGCATTGACATGAGAGTGAGCCACCATGACCAGTGCACCGACGTGGGCACCTGCACTGACATGGCATGGGCAGCACTGGGAGCTCCCCGTCGTGTAGGGAAGAGGAATGGTAAGCAGGTCATCTAAGAAGACTTTTGGGGCGACTTTTGAGGCGCCTTTCGAGGCGCCTTTTGAGGCGCCATTTGAGGCGCCTTTTGAGGCGCCTCAAAAGCACTGGGAGCTCCCCGTCGTGTAGGGGAGAGGAATGGTAAGTGTGAGAAGAAAAGGTAGAAGAGAAGTTGATGGATTGATTGAAAGGATGGGGGGTTTACATAGGAGATGAGTTGGAAACTAGCCTAGGTGAACATTATTGGACCCCAACCAAGGAGTTGGGTTGGGAGATTATTGGTGGGGTCCAATAATGTTGGCCAAGTTGGAGTTGGGCCAACATTATTGGAGGGGACCAATAATTCTACCCATCCCAACCCTTGGGGTCCAATAATTGGACCAAGGTTGGGTTTCCAACCTACAAATTGGGTAACCCCTGCTTGTACACCCAAACTAAGTTTGGGTGCTTATCTCTAGCCTATCCTATAGCATATATGCAGGTTACAAGAGAGGAGATATTCTAACACAACCCCTTAACCTGCAGAGATGCGGAAAGGCTGGAGAGCAGCAACCCCTGAATCAAGGCGCTCCTGGAGGAGCGAGGCCAATGAGGCGGAGGAGAGCAGAGTGCGCGGGGCGAAGAAGTGCTTTGGTGAAGATATCCGCCAAATTGGCTTCAGTGGCGATCTTGCGGACGGCGATAAGATTCTGTCGGACGAGGTCGCGGATGAAGAAATAACGGAGCTCGATATGCTTGGAGCGACCATGAAAGACTGGATCCTGGGTGAGGTGGATGGTGCTGGCGTTGTCACACCAGAGCGTGGGACAGCGCTGGGGGGCACCAAGCTCTGCCAGAAGAAAGCAGAGCCAGCGGGACTCTTGAGCGGCCATGGTGCCCGCATAGAGCTCAGCTTCGCAGGAAGAGAGAGCGATGGCGGAGGAGCGGGTGGAACGCCAGCTGATAAGTCCGCTGCCGAGGGTAAAGCCATAGCCTTGGGAGGAGCGGCGGTCTGGCTGATTGTCTGCCCAGGAGGAGTCACTGAAGCCCGAGAGAAGGGGAGGGGAGGATCCACCCAGTGTGAGAGCGTGATCCTTGGTGCCGCAGAGATAGCGAAGGACCCGCTTGGCGGCAGCCCAGTGTTCCTCAGTGTGACGTCCAGGGCCGACGAACCGAGCAAGGACGCTGACAGGGTAGGCGAGGTCGGGGCGGGTGCACATCATCGCGTACATCAGCGACCCAACGAGCTCGGCGTAGGGCCGGGAGGAGGAGGAGGGGGAGGTGGGTGGCGCAAGTTGGTGACCGAAGGGGAGGGGGGTGGAGACTGGTTTGGCCTGCGCCATCTCAAACCTCTCCAGGACCTGGCCGATGTAGTGGGACTGGGAGAGAGTGATGGTGCGGGCGGATCGATCACGGGTGATAGCCATGCCGAGGTAGTTCTGGAGGGGACCAAGGTCCTTGCACTTGAGTCGTTCCTGAAGTGACCGCTTCATCTGGTCCATGTCGGCCCTGGAATCCGCCAGCAGGATCATGTCGTCAACGTAGACCGAGATGAAAAAGCGACTGGGGGAAGAGCGGATGAAGAGGCTGGCGTCGGAGTGGGAGGGGGAGAAGCCAAGGGACTGGAGAGTAGCAGATAGCTTCGCATGCCATTCTCGTGGTGCCTGCTTCAGGCCATAGACCGGTCGCTTCAGCTGCCAGACGGTGTTGTCGGGGAACTTAGCATGGAACCCGGGAGGTCGGCGGAGAAAGATGCGTTCGTGCAGTTCACCTTGCAGGAAAGCGTTGGAGACGTCCATGGAGTCAATCTCCATGTCGTCTCTTGCACCGATGTCAAGAAGGGTGCGTAGGGTGGCCTGCTTAATGGTGGGGGCGAACGTGAACCAGTAGTCCTCAGCCCAGGTCTGGGTGAACCCCTTGGCAACGTAGCGGGCTTTGTAGACTGGTTCTTCTCCCGGCAGCTGCTTGACTCGAAAGATCCACTTGCCCTCAACCAGGTTGGCGTCAGGAGGGAGGGGAACGTCAATGAAGGAGTTATTGTGGATGAATGCTTCACATTCCTGAAAGATGGCGGCTATCCACTTATCGGCGTCAGGGCAGGTGATAGCCTCTTGGAAAGTGGAGGGGACGAAGATGGTGGGAGCGGGGATCGCGCTAAGGAGTAGGGCGCCGAGGAGGTCAGGGGAAAGTACTGTGAGAGAGGGAGTGTGGCGCCGGACCATGGTGAACTCCTCATGGGAGTCCTCCAGTTGGTTGAGGGAGGGAGGAGACGGTGCACCAAGGATGGGGTCAAGGGAGCGGGTGTGCATGCGAGGGAGGAGGAAGGGTGAGGAGCGGGCAATTGCCCTGCGCCGCTGCTGCTGCTGGTGCTGCTGGAACCCCTGCTGCTGCTGCGGCTGCTGCCCCTGCTGCTGCTGCTGCGGCTGCTGTTGCTGTTGTGGCTGCTGCGGCTGCTGCTGCTGCCGCTGCTGGTGCTGCCCTTGCTGCTGCTGCGGCTGCTGCTGCTGCTGCTGCTGCTGCTGCTGCTGCTGCTGCTGCTGCTGCTGCTGCTGCTGCTGATGGATGAGGAGGGGAGTGGGAAGGGGAGGGGGGAGGGGGAGCCGTGGAGTGTGCGGGGGAGGCAGGAGCAGTGGGATCGTAGACGTCGGCGGATGAAGGTGGCGGAAGCGGGGTGGGGAGGGGTGGGAGAAGAGGTGCCGGAGGGAGGAGGGGAGGGAGGACGGTGTCGGCCCAAGCGAGAGGACGTGCGGGAGGAGGGAGGGGGTCTGGTGGTGGGGAGGAGTAGTACGGGGTGGTCTCATCGAACACAACGTCAATGCTGCGGATGAGGCGACCAGAGGGAGGGTGAAGGAAGAGGTAACCAGGCGAGTCGCGGTTGTGTCCGAGGTAGACACACTCGAGGGCGCGAGGAGCGAGCTTGCCTTGGGTGCGGTCGGGTGGAGGAATAAGCACATATGCCTTGCAACCCCAGACACGGAGACCGGCAGCGTCAGGTTTGGTTCCTGACCAGAGCTCCGTGGGGGTAGCGGCAGTGTGTTGGGGATGGGAGTGAAGGTTGAGGAGGAGGGCAGCATGGAGGAGGGCATAGCCCCAGAGAGAGGGAGGGGTGGAGGCGTGAGCAAGGAGACAGCGGGCGATCTTAGTGATTTCGCGAATGCGGCTTTCTGCAACGCCGTTCTGCTGTGGGGAGTGGGGAAGAGTGTGGGTCTGTTGGATGCCATGGGTGGCGCAGTAGTGAGAGAGAGTGCGGTTGAGGAATTCGCCTCCCCCATCAGAGTGGAGGCGGCCGATGGGACGTTTGAAGTGGGTGCGGCATTGCTCTGCCCAGTTAATGATAATGGTCGGCGCCTGGTCTTTGGTGTGGAGGAGGAAAATGGAGGAGTAGCGGCTGTGATCGTCAACAAGAACCAACATGTAGCGATGGCCTTGGCGTGAGCGGGTGGGAGAGGGCCCCCAGAGGTCCATATGGACAAGGTCAATGGGTGCAGGAGCGAAGGATGGGTGGCTGTGGTGAGGAGATTGTTTGAGTTTGCCGTGGATGCAGGAGGGGCATGGGGGGGCTGGGGAGGAGGGAAGGGGAGGAAGAGTTGGAGGGAGGCTGTGGAGAAGTCGTGAGGTGACGGCAGTGCGGAGAGCGGCAAAATTCGGATGGCCGAGTCGGTGATGTAGGAGAACAGCGGGGTGGGAGAGATGGTCGGAGGTGGAGGGGATTGGAATGAGTGAGGAAAGGATGGAGGAGTGGGGAGGAGACGGAGTGGGAGGAGAGGGAGGGTGATGGGGAGGGCTGGTGGAGGTACCCGCACGAGTGGTAACATGGCAGGAGGATGGCCACGGAGTGCGGAGAGTGTAGAGGCGAGTGCGAGGGCAGAGGGGTATGCGGAGGAGGAAGCGGCCGGAGGCAGTGTGGTAAAGGTCACAGTAGGTGGCATTACCAGGATAGACGGCAGTGATACCTGCACCTTGGATTTCACGGTGGGAGAGGAGGTTGTTTCGGAGAGTGGGGATGTGGAGACCAGTTACCTTGCCAGAGGGGAAGAGTGAACAGGGGAGAGTGGAGAGGTGTGTGCATGGGATGGTGAAGCTGCTGTCAGCACCGTGAACTTGAGTGGGAGGGGAGAGGGGTGTGAGTGTACCAGCGTCTTTGAGGGCGGTCTCAGTGGCCCCACTGTCAAGGACAAAGTCCAGAGTGGGTGAGGAGGAGGAGGAAGACACTGAGTACTGGAAAGTGGTTTCATTAATGTTGGATGGGTACATGGAAGGAAGAGAGGGCGAAATAGCTATGTTGCCAAGGAAGCTCTCGTGAGTGAGAGGGGTGGCAGTGCTACTGGGGGGGGTGGGGCACCCCAAAGGGGGGCAGGTGAGGCTTGAGCGGCCATGGCTGCTGTGCCAAAGTTCAACTGCTGCTGCGGCCAGGGAGGAGGGCTGGGTCCCCACTGTGGCTGGGGTCCTGACCCCCATGGGTGCTGCGGCGGCTGTGGCTGCTGCTGCTGCTGCGGCTGAGGGTGAAACAGCTGCTGTAACTGCTGCTGCTGCTGCTGCTGCTGCTGCTGCTGCTGGAGGTGCTGCTGCTGGAGGTTGAGGAAGGGTGTGGGGGGAGCAAGGAGGCGGAGGTGGGCTGGGAGGTAGGCTGGATTGGTTTGGATATCGGTGGGGGAGGGGCGTGGGGAGATGTTGCCCCACTTTGGAGGAGTGCCAACGTTACCCCGCGCGTACCAGGCATCGTCGAGAGCCTTGAAGCACGTGCCAGGGGGATGGTTGGTCTGTCCGCAGGGAGTTCCAGCCCGAGGACCATAGCGGCGGACATAGGTGCAGGGAGGAAGCGTGCCAGGGCGACTCCCGCGACTTGCAGTGGGTCCACCCGAAGTGGTGGTGCCGTGCTCATCCCCAGTGGTGCCACCACGGTTGTTGCTGCTTCCCGAACCACCACCTCCCTTGCCCCCACCTCCTCCTTTGCCGTTGTTCTTTCCCTGCTTGCGAGGCTGGGTAGCGTTGAGGGAGGAGGAGGTGGGTTGGGAGGAGGCGAGGTTGACGATGGGTGTACGGAGTTTAACTTCGGTGTCGATAATCCACTGTTCAACGGAGGCGAGACCGGCCATGGGATTGGCTTCGGTAAAGGCGTGGAGGCGGGATTCGTAGTCTGGGGTGAGGTTAAAGAGGAGGCGGTGGATTTGAAGAGGTTCGGAGAGGCCGGCCTGGCGGGCTTCGAGGCGATCAGCTACCTCGCGCATGCGTCCGACGTAGTCGACTGCTCCGTCACAGGTGGCGAGGGTGATGGAAAAATACTCTTGGAAGAGGATGCCGACGGAGCTGATGTCGCGGCGCTCAAACATGGCATGGAGTTCTGCCCAGATGACCGAGGCACGGAGTTCCCGAGCCTGGAAGCGACGCATGAGGGAGTCAGGGAGAGCTCCAAGGAGAACGGTGCAGGCACGGGTGTCAGCAGCTGTCCAGGCGATGAGTCTGGGGGTGAAGTCAGCCATGTCGACCTTGTATTTGGCGACGACCTCGAGGTGAGCGTCGCGACCAGCAACCGCCTGATCATAGGCCTCAACTGCAGCATCGTACTCGGCTTTGCGGATGAGGTATTCACGGCGGCGTAGGATAAAATCAGTGTCCGCAGTGGCTTGGTCGGGGGTGATCTGAAGATCGGGTTCACGAGGAGGGTCGCCAGGAGTAGGAGGAAGAGGGGGAGTCTCGCCGGGGTGGGGAGGTTCGGTGGGGGGGAGGGCATGGGGGCGGCGGAGGATGACGTCAAGGACACGGTAGGGGGGAACCCATGCGTCGGAGAGAACGCGTCGGATGCTGCCGACGAAGGAGTGCCAGTTGACTGCGGACTTGTCCGCGGCGAGCTGGAGCTTATCAATGGAGGACGTATCAATAGGGGGAGGAAGTGGGGAGGGGGAGGGTGTAGGAGTAGCCATGATGGACGGCTGCAGGTGGACCCGCAGTGGTCACGGAGGAGCAACGGCGACGAGGCCGCGGGGGGGGGGGGGGGGGGGGGGGGGGGAGGGCGCGGGCAGCAGCGGCTGGCGAGGCCGCGGCGGTTGGCGCGGAGGCGGCGTTGAAGCCGCGGAGGGGCGCGGACGGCGGCGGCTGGCGAGGCCGCGGCGGTGCTGGCGGGGAGGCGGCGTCGAGGCCGCTGGAGGGGAAGGCGCGGGCGGCGGCTGGCGAGGCCGCGGCGGCTAGCGCGGAGGCGGCGACGAGGCCGCGGAGAGGCGCGGGCGGCGGCTGGCGAGGCCGCGGCGGCTGGCGCGGAGGCGGCGACGAGGCCGCGGAGAGGCGCGGGCGGCGGCTGGCGAGGCCGCGGCGGCTGGCGCGGAGGCGGCGACGAGGCCGCGGAGAGGTGCGGGCGGCGGTTGGCGAGGCCGCGGCGGCTGGCGCGGAGGCGGTGACGAGGCCGCGGAGAGGCGCGGGCGGCGGCGGTTGGCGAAGCCGCGGCAGTGCCGGCGCGGAAGCGGCGACGGGGTCGCGGGAGGGAGCGGCGCGAGCGGCGGCGGCTGGCGAAGCCGCGGCAGTGCAGGCGCGGAGGCGGCGACGAGGCCGCGAGAGGGAGCGGCGCGAGCTGCGGCGCTAGCGAGGCCGCGGCAGTGCAGGCGCGAAAGCGGCGACAAGGCTGCGGGAGGGAGCGGCGCGAGCGGCGGCGGCTGGCGAAGCCGCGGGAGTGCTGGCGCGGAAGTGACGACGGGGTCGCGGGAGGGAGCGGCGCGAGCGGCGGCGGCTGGCGAAGCCGCGGCAGTGCAGGCGCGGAGGCGGCGTCGAGGCCGCGGAAGGGAGCGGCGGCGGCGACGGCGGCCGCAGTGGCGTTGGCGCGGAGGCGGCGTCGAGGCCGCGGGATGGGGCGGGCGGTGGCGGTCGGCGGGACCGCGACAAGGCGAGCGCGGAAGCGGCGGTGGGGCCGCGAGCCGTGATGGCGTGGGAGGCCGTGGGGCTGCGAGGAAGGGAGTGCTTGAGGAGAGGGGGAGGGTGGCGAGATAGCCGCGGAGAAATGAGAGAGGAGGCCGGGGGTTGCGGCGGCCTTTGAAAAAAAACTAGGAGCGTAGGCCTAGGATTTTTAAGAGCTCTATACCATGTGAGAAGAAAAGGTAGAAGAGAAGTTGATGGATTGATTGAAAGGATGGGGGGTTTACATAGGAGATGAGTTGGAAACTAGCCTAGGTGAACATTATTGGACCCCAACCAAGGAGTTGGGTTGGGAGATTATTGGTGGGGTCCAATAATGTTGGCCAAGTTGGAGTTGGGCCAACATTATTGGAGGGGACCAATAATTCTACCCATCCCAACCCTTGGGGTCCAATAATTGGACCAAGGTTGGGTTTCCAACCTACAAATTGGGTAACCCCTGCTTGTACACCCAAACTAAGTTTGGGTGCTTATCTCTAGCCTATCCTATAGCATATATGCAGGTTACAAGAGAGGAGATATTCTAACAGTAAGCAGGTCATCTAAGAAGCATCTCAGAAGCATCTCCCTACCTGCATGTCCAGTGGTGTGCGGTAGATGGGTTGGAACTCGCCCGCTGGCATGATCTCACGCGGCACGTCCCTAGAAAGGCACCTATCTTGAGGCCAAGTAAAACAGTACGTATACACCTCCCTTGGGTTGCAGCAAACGCCTCCTCACCTGCACGTCCAGCGGTGTGCGGTAGATGGGTTGGAACTCGCCAGCTGGCATGATCTCAAGCGGCACGTCCCGGCCGGCGGAGGGATCTCGTGCATCGGATAGGACGGCGAGGTCGGTGGCTTTCACTGCCACTCCATCGTATGCGCGGCGGGACACCTGGTGAGAGAACGCGGAAGGGGGGCACGAAAGGGGGTATGAATGGAGAGTATGAAAGGGGGGTATGGTATGGTGGGGGAGGGGTGGGAAGTGGAAAAAGGTGAAGACATTGGTTTTGAACTTTAAGGGTCTAGAGTGTTGGATAGCACATCACACAGCACATTCGCATCTCTCCTCTCAAACTCACTCACTCCCTCGGCTCACATACTTACTCTTTCATCAAACACCCTCTCCCTCATTCCCCATCCCTCAGTTTCCGCACTCCCCCAGCTCTCCCATTCTTTAAATACCTCCGCCCCCCCACCCTCATTCCCTCTCACCAGCTGAGCAAAGTTTCCAGCTGTCAGAGGAGCGGAGTAACCGTCAAGCACCACCTGTGGGATGAACGGGGGATGATTAAAGGGATAATGGAAATACAAAGCAGATGTATGCCTTTGCGCTGCCTCATATGTCGATTGTGGGTGAGAGAGAAGCGGAGCGACAGACAAGCACAGCTTGATGGAGAGATGGGGAAAAAGGGAAGGAAATGTTAAGGGAAGGGACGGGAATGGGAAGAAAAGGGAAGGGAATGAGGAATTGAGAAGTGAATTGGAAGAAGGGAACAGACGGAAAGGAAAGCAAGGCAGAAAATGCGAAGAGAAGGGCATGGAAAGAGGAAGTGGAGGGACAAACTTGGAAGAAAGAAAGAGAGCAAGAGAGGAGGGGAGAGAAGCAGCAAAAGCGTGCCCCCGAGCGCACCTGCATCACGTCTGTGAGGGCAGACGTGTTGTGAGGAGTAGCAAAGCTATGGAAGCAGAGGAGATGTGGAATGGGAGTGGGGTGCGTGGAGGGACAGGACACTCACCTGCATCACGCCTGTGATGGCAGAAGTGGCTCCGTTATCAAGGGAGAAGTAGGAGCCATCCGCCTTGAGCACTGCAAACTCCACCGTTGCCCGCCCTGTTAGCCTGGGGGGTGTGATGCGAGAGAAGGGACAAACGAGGGAGACGAGAGGGGAATGAGTCAGAGGGACTGGGGGATTAGAGGACATAGGGCAGGGGGAGAAGGAAGTAGGAGCCATCCGCCTTGAGCACTGCAAACTCCACCGTTGCCCGCCCTGTTAGCCTGGGGGGTGAAAAGAGGGGATGGAGGAGAGAGGCGAGAGGGGAGGGGAATGAGTAGGAGGGACAGTAGGGAACAGAAGAGAGAGGAGAGGGGAAGGGTGAAGTAGGAGCCATCTGCTTGATCACTGCAAGCTCAACTGCTGCTCGCCCCGTTAGCCTGGGATGAGGTAACAGGAGGGGAAAGGAGTGGTCGGAAGGATCTTGAGACACGGAGGTGGGGAAGTACTGTGCTGAGACGGCCTAAGAAACAATAATGGAAACTCACCGTGGGAGGTTGGCGTATTGGGAGGGGATGAGGAACTGGAGGCCCGTGGCCTGCAGCAGCGAGAAGCTGGTATGGGGAATTTACCTTTATCAATGGTTGTTCAGTGATACACATACACTAACACCCACCGTGGGAGACTGGCGTATTGGGAGGGGATGAGGAACTGAAGGCCTGTGGCTTGCAGCAGCGAGAGGTTGGCGACATCGTTGAGGGAGGAGGCGAGGCGGATGGAGACGCGGTCAGGGTCCTTGTCCTCTATTGCTGCTAGGAGGCCGGGGAAGCCACTCTGATGGGAGGAGGGTGGAGGGGACAAAGAGGAAGGAACGAGGCAAAGAGGGACAGAGTGAGCAATGAGGCGAGGCGGATGGAGACGCGGTCAGGGTCCTTGTCCTCTATTGCTGCTAGCAGGCCGAAGAAGCCGCTCTGATCTGATGGGAGGAGAGATGAGGCAAGGAGGGAGAGATGAGGCAAAGAGGGATAGATGAGGCAAAGAGGGAGAGATGAGGCAAAGAGGGAGAGTTGAGGCAAAGAGGGAGAGATGAGGCAAAGAGGGAGAGTTGAGGCAAAGAGGGAGAGATGAGGCAAGGAGGGAGAGATGAGGCAAAGAGGGAGAGATGAGGCAAAGAGGGAGAGATGAGGCAAAGAGGGAGAGTTGAGGCAAAGAGGGAGAGATGAGGCAAAGAGGGAGAGATGAGGCAAAGAGGGAGAGATGAGGCAAAGTTGGAGAGTTGAGGCAAAGAGGGAGAGATGAGGCGAAGAAGTGAAGGGGGGGAGGAAAGGCTGATGGGTACGTGACGGGAAGGAGGGTGGTGAGGACAAGCAACGGATGGAGAACAGCATAGTACAGCACTGCACTGCACAGGATTCCACAGCACCGTGCCATACCGCACCACACACCTTGGAGTTGACAAGGTCGTTGTAGATGGCTGCTGCCCTCTCCCTGTCGGCAGCAGGCACAGCGTCCAAAATTGCTGCTTGATTGGCCTCTGCCAACTGAGGAAAATGAGACAAGGAGGAGGAAGAGGGAGAGAGTAGGCGGGGGAGGAGGAGATGGATGAAATATCGAGGGGAGTTGGAGGAAGGGGGAAGTGAGGAGGTTGAAGAGGGGAGTGGAGAGGAGTTAGCTAGAAAGAATTACAATAAGTCTGTCTGATTGGCTGGCCGGTGCAGGTGGATGCAGCATGGACGTTCCCACAGGGCATTGCATTGCAGAGAAGAAGGCGGTTGAGTCTGCACTGCCATCGTGCTCACCTTGACCGCCTTATTCACGTTCGCTGCCATTGTCTTGTACGGCTTTTTCTGTGGGATGCGCATGAGCGTTGTAATCTCCTCCAACTCATCCTAATAGGCGTTGGGGAACGGGGGAGAAGAAGGAAGGGGGGGGGGGGGGGGGGAAGAGGAAGGATAGTGGGGAGAGAGAACCGCAGAGCAGGTTTGCCTGCATGGTCTTGTACAGGTTATTCTGTGAGATGCGCACCAAGGTCGTAGTACACTTCGTGCGCATGACACTTCTTTTCATAAGACGGAGTTAATCTGGTATGACATGAATATTCTAGTCTGGATTGTGGTATTGACTAACTTATCTCCATAAAAAGAGAGTCAATCCGGTCTGGGCTTACCTGGATTTTCCTGACTGCCTCGTTGACAACTGGCACGGCGCGGCGGAGCGCCACGTCAGCATTGCGCGGAACCTTGGTGTCCGGGGAGAGCAGGATGGCTTCCGCGGGTGGCGGCTGCGCCAGCAGGGGGACGAACGCGGCGGAAACTGGCGCAAGCACCTGAAATGGGGAAGGGGGGGGGGGGGGTGTGGTGGGGGATGCGCGAGGAAATGGGGGAACGCCCGCGGGAGTGGGGGAATGGACGAGCGAATCGGGGAATGGACGCGCGGAGAGGGGGAATGGACGGGCCGAATGAGGGAATTCACGAAGCAAGAGTGAATGGTACTACAGCACGTGTTGATCTATTAATTGTTACTCTAGAGAGTGTTGTTACAGAGTGTCTAACCGAATGACTCACCTGGATAGCAGCTAGCACGGCTGCTACAGCTTTGCTTGCCACCGTTGATGCCACACGAGAAGCATCGGACGGCTCGGCGGACGAGGAAGGCTGTGCATCGAAAAAAAAAAGATAACGAAAGGAAACGGAAAATCCATGAGAAATGCGAATTGACGCCGAGATTTCTCTAATGGAGACGTTCGCTCCAGGGCTACAGATAAACTTGAAGACGGCTGCCTGCCTGGCACGGAAAATAAGGAGTGCATTGGTCGTGGGACTTTATCAGCACGAGACTACCCTCAAGAGATGGCCTGACCAGCAACGATCTTGACATTCGTTGATTAGGGAGGTACTCTTTTGCTAGCTCTGGCCTGCAAGGCCAATGCCTCCAAATACATTAATTAGTAAAGTCCCGTAATGCTAACCATGCCATGGCCTGCAGTGATTATGATAACGCAATGATTAGACGAGTACCACTTAGCTTGTCGTGATCTGTGAGGATAATGGTTCCGTAAAGCATTGATTAGAAAAGTACCTTATCGCCAGCCCTGGCCTGCACTGGCTGGCGAGAGACAATTAGCCCATGGCGACCGCGCTGCTTCCGCAGCGAGGCCACGTCGAACGCGCCGGTTCTTACGGCCGCGCTGCTTAGGGCGACCTGCAACTGCTGCGCTCCGGCAGCATCTCCCCTCCGCGAGAGCGTGAGGCTCGCGGAAAGGCTAGGAGCGGAGCAGAGAGCTGCGGTCGCCATAGTTGTGGGGAAAAGCGAAGAAACTAAAACTTCAAGGTTTCCTTCCTCGTCAATTTCAAGGGAATATTTTCTAGGTTGGAATCAGCGTGTGCCAGGAATTATCCAAAGGCTACCATCGAGCAAACGCTGCGTTTATCGAAACGAGTTACCCTGCGATGACGAAACCTTCCTGCAAGCCCCCAGCCACGTAAACAGATCCTCTTACCTCGCTACGTTTCGCCACATGTGCAGGCATCGCTGGTTTGAGTGCCCTCTGACGACAGGGTGACGTCGGTTCAGAATCCTGCGCATCTGATCTGGATACCTTCCTACGTGGCACCAAGGCAAGGTCCAAAACAGATTTACACAAAAGCCAGAGTACACTTAGGTTTAGATACCTAAAACCTATATAATACAGTAAATCTACTACAATATTTCCAAAACCTCATTCCAATCTAGCAAAAGAGAATTATTCAAAGCAGTGACACAAAATGGTTAAACAGCTCAGCAACAGCGGGCTCACAGCCCGAACCTGGCCAGGGACCTGTAACCCTATCAAGCACCTCCCAATCAACCTGTCCCTGTGAACCATGCACCGTCTCCATCCAATGCATTATCTCCATGCTAAGCCGTGCCATCAACAGCACATCCACCAATCGCTGCTTCGCCACATCCTCCCACGCTCGATCTGCCGCAATCTCCTGTTTCGACCGCGACAAGGGAGACGTTGACTTGGAAGCCGAAGCAGCCTTGCGAGAGACAGGAGATCGGCCTGATGACATTGTTGGGATGGGAGTTGGTGCAGACGACCCGGGCATTTGAACTGGGGACGAGATTTCCCCGCCTTTTCTATCTCCCTTGCCTTGTTCATCCACACTTTCAGCTTCACTAGTTCGAGGCGCCGAAAAACCTGGTTCTCTGCTCTCTCCAGTATCCTTGTTAGAAGCTTCTCCAGTAGAGATAGAAGCCTTCAGGAAGGTATGGAGCCGATCCACGAACGATGCAAAGAGCAGCATCGCCTGAAGTGCTGGTGGAGGCGGTGCTGGTGGTGCTGGCGAGTCTGCAGCTGTGACTGCACTGCTGTCTGCTGCAGCAGCACCAGCAGCAGCAGCCCTGTTTGGAGTAACAGCAGTGGCAGCAGAAGAGGTGGCAGCTGTAGCTGCTGTAGAGGCCAGAGCAGGTCCGGCGAGAGAAGGGGGCAGCACAGCACATCCATCCAGACCCACCACATGTGCGCGTGCTGCCTCATGCACTGCCAGCAGCAGGAACATGTGGCGCGACCGCTGCCACCTGTGCAGTGGCCACGTCAGCACAGTTGCCAGCATGGCGTCGCACACACTGCCGCCCATCCCCCCTGCGACTGTCGCTGTTGAGAGTGAGGAGCGCGGGAGGTGGAGAGAGGAGGTGGAGGGAGAGGAGGAGCGAGGGGAGGAGGTGGAGGCTGATGGGGAGGAGGAGAGAAGGAGGGAGGACTGTAATGGAGAGGAGGCGAGAGGGGAGGATTGCAATGGAGAGGAGGAGAGCGGGGAGGATCTGGAAGGAGAAGACGAGGAGGGCGGTTGTCGCGAGGGAGAGTCACAGGAAGAAGGTGAAGCAGATGAAGAACGGGGGAAGGTGGAAGAAAGAGAAGAGGGAAGCCTGGAATGCAGCTGTGAGGCTAGGTCAAGGAGAGCAGAGAGGGAGGCGTCTAGGGAGTTCCGTTGAGAGGATGAGGCGGAGGAGAAGAGGTGCAGCAGCATGTGCAGCTGGAAGGGGAGGAAGCGCGCGTTGCTCTCCCGCCCGCCCCCGTGGCAGTCAGTGCTGAAGCTGGCTGCGAGCACGAATCGAGCGATGAGCGTGCGGAGATCTCTGAGTAAAACGAGGAAGCGAGTGCCGTCCACGTGGCCGAGGGAAGAGACGCTCTCCCACCAGGAGTCAAGCCCGCGGGCGTACACTGCTGGGGAGACCTGAGGTTGAGGAAGAGGGTGGGGAGAGAAAAGGATGCAGAGATGGGATTGAGATTGACACACAACGTGCGGCTCTCTCGCGCCCGCCCCCGTGGCAGTGGGTGCTGAAGCTGGCTGCGAGCACAAAGCGTGCGATGAGCGTGCGGAGGTCCCGCAGGAGCACGAGGATGCGCGAGCCGTCCACGTGACCAAGGGATGAGACACTCTCCCACCAGGTGTCAAGGCCTCGGTTGTACACTGCTGGGGAGACCTGTGAGAGCAAGGGAGGTGTTGGAAGGGTGGATTGGAAGGAAAGGGGGATTGGTATTGGGGAGTGAACAAGGGAGAGGCAGTCGGCGCTGAAGCTGGCTGCGAGCACGAAGCGTGCGATGAGCGTGCGATGAGCGTGCGATGAGCGTGCGGAGATCCCGCAGGAGCAAGAGGAAGCGGGAACCGTCTACGTGGCCGAGAGGAAACACTTTCCCACCAGGAGTCAACACCGCGGGCATACACTGCTGGGGAGACCTGTGGGAGGAGGGTTAGAACGGGGGACAGGGAAGAGCATGTAAGACGAATCAGGAAGGAAGCGCAGGTTGCTCTCACGCCCGCCCCGTGGCAGTCAGTGCTTAAGCTGGCTGCGAGCACAAGCGAGAGCCATCCACGTGGCTGAGAAAAGAAATACTTTTCCACCAGGAATCAAGGCCTCGGGTGTACACTGCTGGGGATACCTGTGGCGGAGGGAATGTGGGGGTGGGAGGAGGGAAGTAAGTGCAAGGAGGAGCACGAGGAAGAGGGAACCGTCCACGTGGCCAAGGCAGGATACGCTCTCCCACCAGGTGCAGCTGGATGGAAGGATCACCACACTTGGTGCGGTCAGGCATGAGCGATCCCTACGTATGGTGTAGCTCTCACGTTACATTTAAGAGGGGAAGGTGCTACTAACACTGGCGGCCTTACCTGAGGGCCCCGCAGGGGAAATAGGGCGTTGCAGAGGGTGCCTCCGTTCCTGAGAGCTGCCCCGTCCCACTCGCGCTTGGGCAGCTTGAGGGCGGAATCGGCACGCTTGGCGCGGTCGTGGCAGGAGAAGTGGATGGTGTTGAAATGAGAGACCGTGGAGATAGACCAGTTCACTGCCACCCTGCTGGTCGTTGATGCTGGGAGGGAGAAGAGGAGAGGAGAAGGCAGGGGGGTGGGGAAGGGAGGAGACATGGGAAGAACAAAATAGCAGCTTGGCTCAGTCGTGGCAGGAGAAGTGGATGGTGTTGAAATGAGAGACTGTGGAGAGGGACCAATGTACTGCCACCCTGCTGGTCGTTGATGCTGGGAGGGAGGAGACACGGGAGGTGGGAGAGGGAAGGTGGAGTGAAGGACAAGAGGGGGAGTGGAAATGAGAGACTGTGGAGAGGGACCAGTTCACTGCCACCCGGCTGGTCGTTGATGCTGGAGGGAGAGAATGAGAGGAAGAGAGAGGGTGGGCAGCAGCACACAGGGAGACACGGGGACAAGAGCAGAATGAGAAGAGGATGGTATTGAAATCAGCTCCAGGTGGAGAGGTCGCCGAGAGAAGGTGTAAGCTCCGATCAGCTCGTTGGGGCGAAGGCAGTAGCCCTCGTGGCTACGTTTTTTGAGAATTCTCAAAAAACATACGCTGGCGGTAGCACTCGTGACACACCATGCAGTGAAGTGAAGGCAGTAACCGAGCAAGCAACAGAACTTACTGAGGCTCCAAGTGGAGAGGTCGGAGAAGCGTCTGGAGTAGGTGTAGGCTCCGATCAGCTCATTCGGCCGAAGCTGGTAGCCCTCGTGGCACACCATGCAGCGCAGCGCGCGCATCAACCTAAACACAGGACTTACTCAGACTCCACATCGACAAATCGGAGAAGCGTCTGGAGTAGGTGTAGGCGCCGATGAGCTCATTTGGACGCAGGTGGTAGCCCTCGTGGCACACCATGCAGCGCAGCGCGCGCATCAACCTAAACACAGGACTTACTCAGACTCCACGTCGACAAATCGGAGAAGCGTCTGGAGTAGGTGTAGGAGCCGATGAGCTCATTTGGACGCAGGTGGTAGCCCTCGTGGCACACCATGCAGCGCAGCGCGCGCATGGCAGGAGGCAGAGCGATGGGACGACCCAGTTGTAGATCTCGTGCGTCGTTGAAAGGGAAAGCAGTGGAGAGCAGAGCAGCAGCAGAGGCACCTACGTCACTAGCCTCCTCCAATTCCTCCTCTCCCTCCTCTCCCTTTTCCTTTCGCTCCTTCCCTGCCTCCTCCTCTTCCTCCTCCTCATCCTCGGACCTGCCTGCCCCTGCAACTGGAGAGGGGCCTGCACTGGCTGCACCTTCCCCAGATACTGACGGTTTTGCTGATGTCAGCACGATGCGGTGGGCCCCGGTAGGTGCCAGCTGGGATTTTACCCCCATGCTCTGAGATTGCAGTAGGAAGGAGAATCACAGGGAGAAAGGGGTGAAAGGGAGGGGGGAGAGTAAGGAGGACGAGGGGAAGAGTAGAGGGTATAATGGGGGAAAAAGATACAAGGATTTCTTCCTCACACCGGCTCCCTTTTTTCAGATTCTCCCTCACACTCCCTCACTCCCACTCTCAATCAACCTCACAATCTCACCACCATCACACTTAACCACATTCACTCCCTCACACTGTCACACCCCCTCCCTCACTCCCTCTCCCTCACTCACCTTCATCAGCTCCATGCGTCGTCGCATTGCCTTCTCTCTCCTCCTCTCCTTCGCCCCTGCCCTTAGCTCAGCCACTGCCAACCGAACCTCCTCATCCACCCTCCCCTCCTCCCCTGCTCCTCTCCTCTCCTCCTTCCCTCCCTCCCCTTGCTCGCCAACCTCTTCCGACTCCTCTCCACCGCTCAGTACCTCTAGAAGCGCTTCAGCCCGTGCTCCCAGCCCATCATACCCCACCACCCCCTCTAGCAGCAGCAGCAGCGGCAGCACCCCCTTCTCTGCCCCCTTTTCCGCACCCTCCTCCCGCTTCTCCCCACCCAACATCCCATCCTCCTCACCCGTCCCTCTAACCTCCTTCTCCCCACCCGTTTCCACCTTCTCTCCCCCACCAGCGTCTGCCACCCCCTTCCCCCCACCAGTGCCCAGCAGAACTCGTTGTGTGGGGGGGTGGCCTCGGCACAGGCCCAGCAGCAGACCCAGGAGCAGGGGCAGGGAGGGCAGGGCGAGCGCGCGTTGCCAGGTGGGGAGGAGGCGGAGATCAGAGAGGTCGGAGGAGGGGGAGAGGGCGGCGGGGGGGAGGCGGCGAGCAGATGACGCACAGCAGCTGGGGAAAAAGGGGTGGCCAGGGGGGGGGAAGGTGGGGGAAGAGGGGGAAAGGAATGCGGCAGAATGAGAGAGCGGAAGGTGTGAAATATCAGCACTTCGAGATTTGAAACCGAGGGGACAAGCAGCAGACCCAGGAGGAGATCCAGGAGGAGGAGCAGCAAGGGGAGGGAGAGAGCTCGTTGCAAGGCGGGCAGGGGGCGGAGATCAGAGAGATCAAGGATGAGAGCTCGCAGCCTCAACCCACTGCCGTCCAGCCTGAACGCAGAATTCAGCTCACCTTCTGGAATGCCTCTGCGACCTGCAGGTTTACAGCACTCTCCGACTGCCCCTCCTACCTCCCACAATGCCCCTGTTACCTCCCAGAACGAGTCTCTTACCTTGTGGAATGCCCCTCTCCAGGATGAGAGCGCGCAGCCTGAGCCCACTGCCGTCCAGCCTGATTGCTCCCACCAGCCGCTCGAAATGCCCCGCCATCTGCCACCAGTGCACTGCCTTCCTCCTCCTCTCCTCCTCGCTCGCCTCCTCCCCACTCCCTGCCTCCCCACCTCCACTACTCTTCCCTTCCTTCTCCTCCTCCTCCTGTCTTCCCCCCTCTTTCTCCTCTCCCCCCTCACTCTCCTCCCTACCACTTTCTGTCAGACCCTCCAAGCCATCCCCATCCTTCTCCACCCCTCTCAACTCCCCAATCAACCGATCAAACCCAGCCCAATCCAGCAGCAAGGGACAGAAATGATCCACCAGCACACCCATAGCCCTGCCCTCCCCATACGTCATATACGGCAATATCCGCGCCACACTCTCCGAAAAATCCCTCTTTTTCTTCTTCCCTCCACCCGCTCCTCCTCCTGCCCCTCCTCCTCCGCCTCCCCCCCCTGCCACACCTCCTGCTGTAAACGCGCCTGGGCCAGATAAGCCTACCCCAGAAGCAGCCTGGGAGAGAGACGCTGCAGTGAGCTTCTCTAGAAACACTCTCACTGCTTCTTCTCCCCGTCCTGACCCTTCATGCTTCTCATCCTGCCGATATTCCTCCTCCTTCTCTGCTGTTGCAGTGCCCACACCACCTTCGCCCCCCATGCCACCACCCTCACCACCTTCCACCATCAGCAGATCAACAATCCGAAGCAGGGTGTCAGCTGCGGCCTCCGCCGAACCTGCCAGCGAGGCTTGGGAAGATACTGCAACAACCGCAGCACCAGCTGTCCCAGAAGCACCTGCCGTCGAGCCTCCTCCCAGCGCTGACGTGGCAACACCATGCGCGTACAGCGCTGCACGCGTGGCGCGGTCGAGCAGACGTGGCAGCGCGTGGGAGCGCAGCAGATGCACGCGATTGGTCCGCAGCAGGCACGCAGTGTGCAGCAGCTTCAGGAGATCGCTCACGTCATCCTCCCCACTCGCTAGCTCCTCATCTGCTACCTCTTCCAACAGACTCAGCAACAGAAGCAAACCGTCTGGGCTGCCCATTTCACCTCCCTTTTCACCCCGCTCCACGGGCCCCACCTCACCCCCCCTCTCCTTTCCTGCTGCGGCCCTCTCCTCTCTCTCACCCTCTCCATGTCTCAATGTGCGTCTCTTATCGGAACTACGACTCGCACCACCAAGGGCACGTGGCACAAGAGCAGCAGCAGCAGCGAACTCCTTTTCCGGGTCAGTGGCTTCCTCGCCCCCCTCCTCCAGCTCCTTCACTATCGGCTCTGTTGCTTCACCATCCAGACCCTGACAGAGCGGTGAGAGAAAGGAGGGCACAAAGTGATAGTGTGAGTGTGAGCGGGGTTTGATTGCTTCCTCACCCCCATCCCTCCAGCTCCTTCACTATCGGCTCCGTCGCTTCACCATCCAGGCCCTGAAAAGGTGATCAGCGGGAAATGGGGTCATCAGTGATCGAGTGAGTGTGAGTGTGAGTGTGAGTGTGAGTGTGAGTGTGAGTGTGAGTGGGAGTAGCTTCCTCACCCCCCTCCTCCAGCTCATTCACTATCGGCTCTGTCGCTTCACCGTCCAGACCCTGACAGTGACAACAGTATAGTGAAATGAGGAGGGTTCAAAAGCGGGATTCAAAAGAGGGGGCAGGGTATAGTGAAGGGAGGGGGGAACGGAGTGAGTGGAAGTGTCTCTTCGCCCCCCTCTCTCCTTCCCCTTCATTACCGGGATTCCCTCTCTCCCCCTCCTTCATTTACATTCCACTCACCGATAGCCGGAAAGCCACGCTCACAGGTCCTCTCTGCCGCCACACTTGCTCGCATCCCATCTCACTCACTAGAAATCGGCAGGAGGTAGACTTACCTGCAATCTGAAGGTCACGCTCATGGCCCCTCGCTGCTTCCACACTTGCTAGTACACCGCCCGCACCGACAGCCCCAGGGAGCAGATCTGGCCTCTCTTGGACCTAACCCCTTGTAGCTCACATTCCACTCACCTGCAACCAGAAGGTCACGCTCATGGCTCCTCTCTGCTTCCACACTTGCTCCTACATGGCCCGCAAGGACAGCCCCACGGAGCAGATCTGACCCCTCCCCTGGTTACATCCTGCTCACCTGTAACCGGAAGGTCACGCTCATGGCTCCCCGCTGCTTCCACACTTGCTCGTACACCGCCCGCACAGAGAGCCCCAGGGAGCAGATCTGCCCTGAAACCAGCAGCTCCATGCCATAATCGTCGTCCATCAGCCCATGTAGCTCCAGCTCCTTGCATATCAGGTTCTTGACGTCCCTCATGAGTGGACCAACCTGCAGTGGAAGAGAAGGGGAGATACACGAAAGTAACAAGTCGTCAGTCGCACGGACAGGCGGGGAGCAGATCTGCCCTCCCACCAGCAGCTCCATGCCATAATCGTCGTCCATCAGTCCATGCAGCTCCAGCTCTTTACAGATCAGATTCTTCACGTCCCTCATTAGCGGGCCGACCTGTGATGGTGGAGAGAGATGAGAGAGGAGAGAGAGAAGCATATGAATCGACAGTGCCAGCTTCAACCCCACCAGCAGCGCCATCCCATAGTCGTCGTCCATCAATCCATGCAGCTCCAACTCCTCCTGGACGTCTCCCATGCATATCAGATTCTTGGCGTCTCGCATCAAAGGACAACACGAAAACCACCTTCACATATTGCAAAGAATTCACACACACCGTACCATACCATGCCGTAACACCTCTGTAGACGCTCTTCAAGACAGCGCACCTGTTTGATGGAGTAGGGGTTGTGCTGCAGGCGCCCAGGAAGGAACTCCTCCTGTGTCGCTGCCTTGATGAGCAGCATCTCGTACTCGGGCTCGGGTCGTGTGGGACAGATGGTGTTGCAGAGATGCCGGAGGAGGAACTGGAGGGGAGGGGGAGAGAAAGGGAATACGGGAAGCAAATGAAAGAACACGGGAGAGGGCAGAGAAGGCCGGTTGACATGGGTGAACGAGGGTTGCCTCTGACAGCAGCAAAAGAGGATTTTTGAGGCGCCTAAAAAATCGTCTCAGTTCACGCGTTTTCAAGGCGCCTCAAACATGGGTGAACGAGGGTTGCCTCTGACAAGCAGCAAAAGAGTGAACGACACAGCAGAGAGTTGTGTTTTGAGGCGCCTCAAAGCTCAACTCAATGCATGCAGATTTTATACAGTTGACACGTGTGAACCGGGGACACGGGAGTGAACGGCAAAGAGTAAGCAAAGCAGCGAGCAACGACTCGCTCTGATCGCCCTCCAGGAGTCACATGCAGCAGCATCTTGCCCCGCCCCCTCCTCCTCCACCACCAGTTCCCCAGCACCTCCACACACGCAGGAAACCAGCAGTAAACAGGTAACGCAACCAATACTCACACCTATCGCTCTCCAAGAGTCACACGCAGCAGCAACATGCCCCATCTCCCCCTCCTCCATCAGTTCCCCCAGCACCTCCACACACGCCGCCACAAACGCATGCAATGCAAGCAGCAACCAATACTCGCACTTATCGCTCTCCAACAGTCACACACAGCAGTGTCGTGCGCTGTGTTTTGAGTCGACTCAAAACACAGCAACCAATACTCACACTTATCACTCTCCAGGAGTCACACGCAGCAGCATCTTGCCCCACCTCCCCGTCCTCCTCCACCAGTTCCCCCAGCACCTCCACACACGCCGCCACAAACGCCCTCCTCCTCCCCTCACTCGTCTCACACGCCTCCTCACGCCCCGTCCCTTCCGCTCTCTCCCCCTCAGCTTCCGTCACAAGTCCCTGCAGCAGGAGGGAGAGCTGCTGCTGACACTCCACCACCAGTTGAGTTCTCGTCACCACCAATCCCTGCAGCCCTACCAATGCTCGCACTGCCTGCACCAAACACCTGCTAGCACTGCTGCTTCTGCAGCTGCTGGTGCTGTTGCTGGTGCTGCTGCTGGTGCTGCTGCTGGTGTTTTGGCTGGTATTGGCGTCAGCACTCCTGCTGCTGCTCCTGCGGGCCGGTTGAAAGAAGAGGCTCAGCAGCTTGGGATGCTGCAGGGCCTGCTGCAGCAGCCGAACGGCTTGCAGGATGGGATACGCCGCAGAGGCAGATGCAGCAGCAGGGGCAGCAGCGGCAGCAGACGAGGTGAAGGGCGAGAGTGAGAAGGAGGAGGGGGCAAGCAGCGGGGCCATAGCTCGAGACTCGTGTGCTTGCAGCTGGGAAACGGAGTGGGAGATGAAGGATGTGAGGGCAGGGAGGAGGCCCCGGGCCGCCAGGAAGAGCAGAGAGGAGTGCTGCATGCTCGGCTGGTCTACCGAGGGTTGGTGAGAGGAGGGACGGGTGGAAGCAGGGCGAGAGGAGGAGGATGAGGAGGAGGAGAGAGCGCGAGCGGCCGTGCCTGGGGGGGGACGAAGGGGGGATAGGCTCCCCTGGGCTGCTGCTGCTGATGAGTACGACGAGTAGGGACGGAATTGAGTGGAGAGGAGGGGTGTGTTAGAAGAGGAGGCTGCAGTTCTGCTTTGCGAGGGCCTGCTGGAGGCAGGAGCGTGAGGAGAGGAGATGAGGCGGGAGAGGAGGGAGAAGAACTCTGCTGAGGCTTCGCCTGCGTGTGTGGTGGCAGGGAGGAGGGACAGAAGTGATTCTAGCACGGCATGATTGTATCGAGGGGCGACCCCTGCCAGCAGCTCGAGCAGATCGCAGATCTCCGATCGGAGCCCGGGCGGCGAGCGACAGCTGGCGATCAGATCTGCAGTGAGAAAGATTTGATTCTCTTGAAGGTGGTCTTTTCCGGATCGGGCGTCGGGATGATTGCTGCCGAAGCACCAGCTGCCGAAGCACCAGGTGCCGAA